TGCTCTAGTTTCCACAGCGTGATCAATTCATGACATGTTATTTACACAAACCAAGTTGTAATGAAGCTTGACGGCTACTTTGATGCAACTGTTGAAGGAAGCTGGTTGTCATTCTGAAAAGATGCACATGAAAGCGCGGCGTAACTGGTTTGGACAGGTGGAGCATTTATAAGCTGGATTTATTCAAATTAAAAATTAAATAAAATAGTTATTGCATGTTGCTGTGCTGGTAAAAAGGGTTGAATGTCTAGATAAGGAGCCCAGCAGGTAGGTAATGTTTCACAGTATTTTTATGGCAAAGGATCAAAGGTCCAATTCTGTTTTCCCTGTCACGTCCACCTTTACACCTCCAAGGGATTTCTGCCTGGAAGAGGGTGTAAATCACAGCAAGGTGAGTGTATGTCCTGAAAATTCTCTGTCTTTTAAAGCTGTCTTCTTAACACTTGTGCACCTTCATTTTAAAGCATTCCAGAGTGCGTGGGTGCTTCCTGTTTACCAGCATGGTGGAGCTTGCCTTCTACCCCGCTGTGGCGCTGATCTACTTCTTTGGAGTGATGAAAGCCTCAAAGGAGGACAAGGTGGAGCTGAATGACGGGGCGTCGATGAACGTGTTCTGCCTGTTTGTGTTGGCGCAGCCCTTGTGTCTGGCGTTAGGAGGATACACCGGCATGGCCACCTACCTCCTCACAGCTTTAGTGTCCTACAACTTCCTGCCCTGGAGAGAGATGACAAAGAGGGAAGTGAAAAAGAAAAAGAAATGAGCGATAAAGAAGAAGAGATGTGGAACAGATTGCACGTGGAAGAATACATATACGAGAACAAATGTAATTTGACTGAGCACTTCAGTGTTATTTGCTTCTATAGATAATAGTTTTGACTTTTAATTTTCTCCTATGTATTCTGAGGCAGCAGCCAAGGAATTATGTCCAGTTGCTTTTGACACAAACGCTTTACACATGAAGAGATTTTCTTTACATGATGTGTTGAAGCATCTATTAAACCTCTTGGGGGTTTAGAGTGTATAGGAGGCGAGATGTGATGCAACAGTACGCTGCAGCTGACACAGTGTTGCGTTTACAAAGTATCAAAGATGGATGCTGATCCTTCTCTCTTATCTTTCATGAATCCCTTTTGCTTTGGCAGCTGCACCACAAATGTATTTGGGGGTCTTAGTAAATAAATGCTGGACATAAGCGTTTATAATTTTTCTCATTAGAAAAAAACGATATTTTAAATTAATTTCTAATCAACATAGTTATAAAATATCCCATATTATTAGAATTATCCCACTGCTCATTGATGCCATCAAAAAAGAATTCAGATTATTATTTATCCCAACACAAGCTGGAATTTATCCATATTTTTGAGGCTCTATGTAAATGGGGTGATTCAAATGTCAGATAAGAAATTACTTACATGTTCAGTGTAAGAGTAGGATTTAAAATTTCTGTAACTCTTGCATCCAAAACTTCTGCTCTCTGTCAGATATGTTCTGTTCTCCATCAAATCTGTGTTCGCCCGCTCAGATTTTATGCTTCTTGCACACATATTTTCTCCTTCTGTTTGCTTTCCTCTCCTTGTGCAAAAAAATAGACTCATTAAACATTAAAAAAAATATGCAAAATAACTTCAAGCAATTCTTGTTTATAAAAATTATGGACGTTAGTTCACTCAACCACAAAAGAAGTGACTGAAACAGCTTTCTTGGTTTGGCCATCTGATTATGATTCACTCTTGTAGGTTTCCTAAATTCAAAAGAATATGAATGTGAATATAATCAGAATACATAACAGACAAAACTTTGAGTTAAAATGAATTTGTTGGAATTGCTTGGTCGATCATTATAATTAAAGCATCTCGGGGCAACAAATTGACCAAACGTCAACAAGAGACAGGAAGTTGCGGGTTTTGAGTTGCTGTGAGTCTTGTGACTTTTGCACAGTCTCATCTCTGAAACTAAACTAATTCAACAAGTAAACATAAACCCTAATTCTTCTGCTTTTGACTATTGTATTAATTAAGTCTGCAATAACACAGTGCCACTAATTATCAGTTTCACTTCAGGAAACCTCTCCTAAAGTGACAGATGGCTCATTTGATCAAATATTTAACATATTCCACACCCTATCAGCAAAAGAAGATTAATTATTCTCAAAGACAAAAAAAAAAAACCATGTGTGTTTTTTTTAATTATCCTCTTGTGTTCATGAATGACAGTGTAATCCTCTGATGTGGTTAAGCCTGGTAACACAGAGAGGGTTGTGTGTGCAAACCCGGACTCAAAGAGTGAGGGCATAATGGGATTAAACTGCTATTTGCTCTGTTGTCATTTTGTTCAAAAGTTGTACAGATGCTTGCTGTATATCTGAGGCTCAGTAGGAGACTTTTTCTTTTCTTTTCTTTGCTTTTTTTTGAGGCATTGTTTATTATATTACTCCGTACTGAAGTCCTCTGTGAGTTCAAGTCATACAGTCAGGATGTAATCGAGTTATTTCTCTGAGAAGGAGGCTTGCGTATATGTTTGCCTAATAAAGTTAGGTTTACTACTCAAAATAAAGGTGATCAGTGACTGGCATCAGTGACTCCAGATTTATTGCAGTTGCTTTTGGAAATATGTACACCTCTTGTACACAATCTGTTGCATATTAAGGAAAATGCCGCTTTTAAGCAATATTCAAATTTTTTTTAGATGTACTAGGATTTGCACGTCAGTTCGGTGTGACATTCAGTCAACAAAGTGTTAAAAAGATAGCATGCCATAAAGTCTTGAAATATAGTTTCAGCCAAAGAGAAAATGGTACATACTGTATAGCCGAGAGAGATTCATCATCCTTCTCTTGATCCATCTACTATACACCATGACAGAGTTTCAGCTAATAGCTCTTGTGCAAAGGTACTATTTTTATGCCTGTCAAGTTGTTGTCTAATTCATTGACATTTCTTACTGATGCAACTTAAAAAATGGGAACAAATTATGTATTGTTGTGACAGCCTCATAGAAACAAAATGCCTAAAGACAATTTAAACAGAATCTGCTTGCAAAGTTATGATTTATGTGCAGAAAAAATTATACAACTTTTTTCGGAAAATAGTACAGACAGTAAGGAGAAGTCATTAAAACCTCGCATGAAAGTAATTATGGGTTTTCGTCAGTTGGAATGATGTAATCAAGTTAACTGTCTGCATTACCCAAGTTTTCAATATATGTTAGAACTCCAACTTATGATGGATAAGAGAGAGAAAACCTAAATTTAATCCATTTTCTTTGCTTGAGAAAACATGTCTAGCTTGCCTACATAGATTGTTAAATCAGCTTAATAAAAAGGTAAAATCTTAAATTAAATCAACTTACTAAAAACGTGAAAATCTTAAGTTAAATCAACTAAGAAAAACATACAATTTTAAGCTACGATCAACTTAATTCATAGAAGCACAACAGCCTGAACACACCATCTGTAATGCCAAACATGGTAGTGGCTGCAGCATGCTGTGGGGAGACTTTCTTGAGCAGCAGCATGGAAGCTGCTCAGAGTGGATAGAAAGAAGGAAAATGGACTTGGGACTGGAGTCAAAGCTTGTCACATACCTGAAATGCATCAGGGGAAGAGTGCATGATGTATGGAGGCCTCGGTTTTCAACCTGGTTTAAGTCCTGGACCTTGTGTTTCCTCTCTCACAACACACTTTCCTATCAATTCATTGTTAAGTAAAGTCCTCAAAGGCAACAAAAATCCTAAAAAAAAAAAAAAAAACTATTTGTGCAAATCTATTTGTTTTTAAGAATATGCGCCAAGACTTTTGAGGGATGCTCTCCATCCAATCTGACTTAACATAAGCTTTTTTTTTTTTTTTTTTTTTTTTTTTTTGCAAAGTCAAATTGGTAATCGCAGCACATCAATAGCAGCACATCAACAGTAAACAGATAAAAACCAGCTTGGTAAATGCTGTATAGTTGCCCAATTTGTGTATGTAAAGTTCTGACCTATGTGAAAAAATGACCTAAAAAAAACAGTTTCAGAAATACTGACGTAAAAATGAACCGGAAGAATGATGGATGCGTTTTTTTCTCTACGTTAAGACTTAAGATTTTTGAAGTTGCAAGGTGACTGGCATTGTCTGTCAGACACTGACGGATCAGCTTGCACACACAGGGATAGTGGAACGCCGTGTGTGAGTGTGAGAGAGACAGACAGATTCAGATGCATTCAAGTGAATTTTCAGAAGTTTGTTTTTTGGAGAAAGCAGTCGGAGCACATGCAGCTGGGATGTGACTGGCTCTGTGCATGGCTGTTTGTTTGTCACAGGCATCTTCAGATGGGTTTTGCCTCCTCTGAGACGTTAATGGCCATCGTATATCACAGTGCTTGCGTCTCCCATCGTGGCTGAGACAGGCGCAGCCTGACACAAGTTAATGATCAGAGTTTGCAAAGGAAATGAAGATTGATGAGATTTGAGTCTGTATTTCTGCCCCTGAAGTAGAAAGAAATGCACCAGGATGAGAAATGCCTCCTATATGTACATGACACGTTTCATGGTGGGTTTGTCTGCTTATCCAAAGTGATATACAAGATAAACAGAATTTTATGTTGTTAGCGGCTTTCATATCAAGTTATGTAAAACACAGTTAGGTATTTACTATAAAATAAACCATTTAATCTGATTATAAAGACATTTATCTCCATCATAAAAATGGCGCTTTTTTTATAGTTAAAATATTACATCTTTTACATTAATTATTGGAGCACAAAAATCTACCTTAAAATAATGCAGAGCAAAACTGAAATGTTTTCATAAATGTTACCATACCCTTTCAATTTTCATTAAATATTTTTATGCTATTATCTACATTGTTCCTAGATTTATCCTATATAAGTAATTTTGGAAAAACATCCAACTTCACTTATATTGGACAGTATAGAGCTATACAATGTATTTAAATATCTGGTTACAAAAAGCAAGAAAATATATTCAAACAAAATTGAAATTTCCAAAAAACAGAAATTGGTTTGAACTCATTTATTGGATTCTTCATTAAATATTTATTTACATTATTCACAAATAATTGTACATGGCTTCATTACATGCATAATTATTTATAAAATCTGTACACACATTTACACTACAGAGGGCTTAGTGTGTGCAACAGGAGACACACCTTGCCTCTGAACCTACATTTTTATCCTAAGTGTACATATTTCACATACATCGTCTGACATTGTGTTAGCATGACACGAGATCCTGGATGAAATCTACTGAAGCAGCTGTAAGAGAAGATGCGTGTTGAAGTGTGACAGAGTAGCCAAGTGCTCTCTCGATCAAGAGCCCACATGATGGTGTGTAAATGCCATTAATTAATTTAATTTTAGGCAATGGGTAATATTAAAGGGATAGTTGGTTTGTGCTAAGTGGGTTTGTTGTTTAGTGGCAGTTGAGGAGTCAGTATATTGCCTGTAGTAGACAACAGTGAGATTAACCTTAGTCTTGAAAACCAGGCTGAAGTTATCATGAGAGAATCAAGCTGACACTACCAATAGTAGGCACATTCAAAATCAGCTTCCTGCCATACAAGTAGTACTCAACCTTTGTGGGATGTTTTTATTTTTTACCTAACAGGGTAGTCCTGATTTTTTTACTCATCAGTAAAAGCTATCTTACTTCTTGTAGAAACATATCATTGTGAGCCTGTTGGAAAATAAGTCCTAAGTATGTCAGAATGTAGTTGGAGATAGTTTCCCTTTTTTGAGCTGATGTTAGGAATTTCCAACAATTAAAAATGGAAATGTTTAAATCACTGGACACAGCATCACCCGGGATTATCTTATCAGAGTAAAAAAGCTTCCTACAATTTCACAGAAGGCCAGTGTTGAGTTTGATATTGCTATGTGAGGTAACATTGTGGATTTGTAGGTTTTAATTAGCTGGATCCATCTAGCTGATTGATCTAGCAGCAACTTGCCAGGTCCATTAGGGTCAGTGTGGGAATTGTAAGCGTTTGATTTTTGTGTCAGTAACATCATCAGCTGAAAAAAAAAAACAACTGCACCATTCTGAGGTCTCTGTGATGTTGCAGACAAAACATCGTTTCACATTTATATGAGCAATTTTGAGTTTAAGTTGTTTAAAACAGCTAAAGTCAGCTAAAACATCTACATAGCTTGTTAGTCATCCAACACTCAGGATTTACATAATTTTTCTACAAGCTCATGGAGTTATGATATGTAAAGGAGCCATTAGTGATGACAACTCCACAGAACCTCTACACTCTGGAATTAATGTCTAACGGATGTTGCTAACGTTTGCACTATTTTATTTTATTTTTTTACCTTAGCTCTGTGTTTCTATAGAAACTGAAGCAGCTAAATGTTTCTCCAAACAAAACCCACACTTTCCCAGTTTATTCTTAAAACTTCACTAACAGGTAAAAATGTTTTCTTAATACCAAAATTCCAGACCTAAACGATTTAGCTGATTGGCAGCGTTTTAAAAAAAACTCCACCTCACAGTCAGCATAACAATGAAAACAGCAACGTAAACAAGTTCTACATGCAAAAGTGTACTCATAACAAATATGCCATCTAAAATAGGAATATTGTTTTCATTTCAGACAATGAATGACATACATCTTTACTGAGCCTGTGCAGCATTTTGCTTGATTTCGCCCATGAGAATTTCTCACTTTTCTCCAAACTGTGTCAACCATTCAACACGACCCTACCTTAAAACAAATTAAATATCCCTTTCATCAGATGTTTTCTGTTTTGGTGCATCTGTATTTGTCCAAACCTTTAAACATAGGTTTCTCATGCTATTATTAGAAAATGACTGTGCTTCTCCAGACAGTGGAGTTCGCTATGTGTACTGACAATAAATCAGGATACTGAGGTTTACACTGAGCTGGAGGCGACCAGTGTTGGGCATTTAAACAAATAAATGCATGCTGCGTTCAAAGCCACCTACTACTTACTTCTTATTGCAGTATGCTCTGGGAGGCTTAACCTGTAAAAGCAAGTATCTCTTAATGTTTTCCAAAATATGAGCGATTTGGATAAATTTGCATGATCTACCAAGGATGAAATTTTCCTTGACAGTTCGATAAATTATATTACAATGTTGCTTTCATCAATTCCCAAGCTTTTTTCTTTTTTTGACCAGACATTTAAGCACTTTGCTTTGCAGTATGCAGCTCGTGAGGTAGACTGTTCCACTGCATACTGAGTTTTTTTTTTTTTTCCTCATTCCTATATTTTAAGATATTTCCAGCATTCTTGAGAAGTTGCCTATTTTGTATTGCATGAATCAGAATTAGCAAGATTAGCATACATTCCTGATTGCGTAGTAAACAGTTTAACGTGGTTTGTGGTTATTATTGACAACTGAACTTGAATATCAAGACAATTACAAAAGAGAAGATAAAGTCTCCTGAGCATCTATAAAGTTGTGTTATGTCCTAAAATGGGATTAAAAAGCAAATCTGAAAGCTAGGATTACATTTTGTTTTTCTTTTTCCAGCATATAATATTTCTTAGACATAACATGATAACTTACTTCTAAACCTACAGTAGATTTAAACAGGTGTGCTTTTTTTTTAGGACAATGTCTGCAATTTTTTTGATAAGGTAAGATAAAAACATGGCTTCATCTACATCTAGAAAACAATGTGTAAAGTGTTTGCAGCAAGTTTGTTTTCCAAAGTGCTCGTGAATCCTAAATTGCAGAGATCAATCTGAGACCAACTGAACTGAAAGAAGTCAGTTAAACTCAAATTAATTGCTACAATGCTTTAAAAAAATCATATGGTACAATTATTTACACATCAAGTAATGGGGTGGTGCTGAATAGTTTGAAGTGTCAGAGCTTGGGGTCCATAGAAAACAGTAAAATGTGCATCTCAATAGCTTAGAATATCTTCAAAAAGGTTTTTTCGTAACAATTTTTAAAAGTAAAACTCTTGATATATCATTCTGTGAATCTGTTATGAATGTTGCTTTTCTTTTTTTTTTTTAACTCCATTACTGATGCAGCTTTAAAAATGACCTGTTAGGGCTTCAGGCCCTTACTGGGGCTGTCCAGGACTGTCTGCTGAACAACTCTCAAATATGCAATCTTATGACCATAACAGATTTAGATTAATAATTTTTTTTAATTGGCTTTAAAATAAAATATCAAATTTTCTGACAAGTTTTTTTTTTTTTTTTGTCACTTCCAGTTAAGGTCTCTGTTCAAACAGTTCTGCACCAAAGTACATTAATGGGTGAAAAAAATGTGGGAGTATAAAATTCATACCAATCAAATGATTGAGGTAATTGTACAATCACCAAAATTAATGGATAATGGATAAAACCTGTAACCAATGCACAGATTGGTTACAAGTTTAAACTTTCAATAATATTTAAATCTATTAAGATGCACCACGTAAACTCTTTGCATTTTCTGAGTAACTCTTATTCTTGGCAAACTGTTCAGGGTCCAGGAAAAACAACCATGTCAATGGTAATAAATAATCAGTTAGTTCAGCAACATACAGAAAACCAAGTCACCCACTGAACAGCAATGTTTGAAGAGGTTAAATCAACCAATTGACACTACTGACATTACAAACCCTTAGCAAATGTACAAGCGATGGGCAGCAGCTTATCTAAAGCTGTGGATCTACAAAGCCTCTAAAAACAAGCAGAAGTCCAAAAGAGCAATTAGCACAGAAAAATGCAGTGAAGGGCTCAACAGATTCATGGTCAAGATTTTCTACTCTTTTCCTCTGTGGAAGTTCATTACCCTGCTAATGACCACGTTATGTACCAGTCACTCCAGCTTTACAGGACAGCTACGTACATATATTACATACTGTACACATTTTAAAGATGTCATTATGGTAAAAAAAAAAAAAAAACATATATCAGTGCACATTTTCAAGGCATTCAGTTTTGACCAGTTTGGGAAGGTGCCGTGTAAAACTGGCACAGTACATAGATAAGAAGTAAAGGGCATCAAATGGAAAAGTGAAACATGGAAAATGAGTATTTCACAAAGTGGTATGAAACACTGATAGTACCATTTCTGTTCAAAAATAATAATATTCTCACAAACAAGGCATTTGGTTGGTAGAAAAAAAGCTAGTTCGCAGGGTCACATTATGACTGAAGTTTTAAATCATCCTTCCACATATACCTGAGTTTCTAATCATAGCAAAATATTATTCAAGACAAAGCTTTATTAGAATAATCATGTTTTTTCCCCTAAGCAGAACACTACAACCAAGAAAATTGCTTTTGGCAAGTTTAAGCAGCTTCAGATTCGTGTTGGACACATGAAGCAGCAGCAGGACATTTAACAGGAAACTTGTTTTTTCTATTTTTTTCTCCTCTGAACTCAGTTTTCTGATGCAAGCATCACTCATAATTCAACTACATACTGTTCGACTCTGGGTCTTCTGCGAGGAAAAGTGCACCAAATGAGCAAAACATGGTTTTTCAAAACATATTGCTAAGCAGAACATGACAAGCAGACATAAACTGATGATATTTTTTTTTTTTTTTAATTAAGGAGTAAGACATTTGAGTGATAGGAAGCTTGAAGGTTGTCCAAGCTTTTCTTTTTTTTTCTTTTGATGGAGTGTTAAGCAAAAGGTAGGATATAATGAAATTATGTGGAGCTATTTTCAGTATTGGGAGGTGTCAGGCAACCAAAAGGCAATGGAGCCGACTTAGAGCATGCTGCAACCCCTTAGAGTGCATGTCTCTGTGTTATTATGGAGACTCTAAATCAACACAGTGAAAGATGCCAAGACGCATCAAACAAGACGGATAGCCGAAACATCTTCTCAGACTGTTTATTTATCCGTGGCATGTGCATATGTGCGTGTTGCCCACACGCCTAATCTGCCACATAAACAGATTTGTACATCAGTGCACAGGCGCAGGAAGTTTATTCCTGCTTGAAAGTGTAGCAGCTAAATGGTGGGTGGAAGAAAACTGGGAATCAAAAAAAAAAATAAAGAGGGGAAAGAAAAGAATCCCTCTCAGTGATGACCTACTTTCACACAAGAAATCTTGCCTGAAAAGCAGCTGGAAGAGCCGAGCTCTAATTAAATTGGCTTCTGGGAGAAGTTTAGAAGCTGGAAAGAAGGTGGACTCCAAAGTAAGGTCAGTGTGAAGCGCAACCTTAAAAAAAGAAAGAGACAAAATGTTGGAGTGGGAGCTTTGAATGATAAATGGCAAAAACGGCACCCGTTCTGCAGGTTGACAGCATTACAATCCGACATTTTGGCCGCAGTGTAATACCTGCCACACATCTCCTCGAGGAGTGCTCATGCTGTCAGCAAACTGCATGTCTTTTTCTTACTTTGGCTGCAGTTAGCCTTTCCAGAAGAGATAAGGAGATTCAGCCAGGTCCTGCCGGACCGACGCTACCTCCATATCTGTTCTGCAACCAGACGGTGTGATTGCCAGGGGGCCCGCACAGGACGCATCCATACAGCGATAGTGATTAATTGAGACAGAAAGCAGCAAGTGTTTCCACACAAAGACCTGTAAAAATGTTTTTTTGTTGTTTTTTTTTTTGTTTTTGTTTTTTTACCCACCTCAGGTCAGAGTTCAAAACGAGTGAGGTAGGAAAAACAATAAATTAGAAATTATGATTAAAAAAAAACACAAACATGACAAACAATTAGTCATACAACTGCTAAAACTGGATGCCAATTAGGAGTGGTCTGTAATTTTCCAGTGACGTTTGAGCAGTAGTCCACCGATCCACTGCCATGACCATTTGACATGATTTTTTAATGTGCTCAGTTTCTAAGCAGCCAAAATGTTTGTGAGACAGTCCCTAATACTGCAGTCCAGCAGATACATAAGCAGATTAATCTCTCACTGCCTGAAACCTTGGTGAAAGAACAGAAGGACACTTTCATTTAGTACCAGGCTGTAGGTGGTTGTTTTCATGTCAGGTGAGAAATTGTTTTGCTTGGCGGACGCTTCACCAGGCTGACAACATTTATCTCCAAGTAGCACCACAGCAGAATGGCACTTTGAAAGTTGGCAGTAAAAAAAAAATTCTGAAAGGCATATTTCTTGACTTCCCGGTCCACCGTTTTTCTGCATGATCCACACCTTGATTGCTTTGGAAACTGCGACTGAGGCGTCACATTGTGTCGCTGGAAGCGGCTGCTGTTGCAGCAAGATGGCTGACAGAGAATACACAGTCACTTTGCTTCTCACCTCTTCCTCCACACCTTTGACAGCCAGATCTTCACCGTCTTGTCGCTGGAGAGGAAGAGAGAGAGAGAAGAGGAACGATGAGCGAAGTAATAAAAGCAAGGAGAGCACAACAAATGGAGGAAAAATAACAGAAGATAAATCAGGCAGTCCTGCCTTCCCAAACAACTGGTGTGCATCGGTCAAATTAGAAAGACGCATACCTCAAAGTGCACTTCACTAATATACATGCTCAACACACACATAATTGAAAAAACATTTTTCTCAAAGTCAATGACTCTTCACTAAAAAGCTACCCTGCATCGTCATTAAACTCAAACAACAGAGTATAGTTTCATTTTCTTGTTGCACTTTAGCACATACTCATCCACAATCTTCTCGTAAATCAGGTCAAATCTGTCATTAGTTTGTTTGGAGAAGTTTGAACTCAGTAACACAATGCACTTCAAGACAGAACAGTTAATCCATGTAAATCCCCTCTGCATTACTTTAACTGAAAAACTTTAAATCAAACTTTTGCTAATTTGCAAAAATATATGCCTCTCTGTTCCCTTTAAGACAAACAATACAGGCTTTTGGTTTATAACTGGATTCTGTCCAGTTCTCTTCATGCAAGAGCCTTCTGATGGTTTGCATCTGAAGGTTTCTCCAAAACGGCAACAAAGATGCCGACAATTGACAGTTCTGTCAGCCAGCGTGTGTGAGCAGAAGGGAAACATCAACTTCCAGATGAACTGAAAACCTGGGCTGATGTCACCCTGTATTTATCCAGGAAGCTTTGTTCGACTGGGCAACTTTCATAAGTTCATTTAGTTTGGTTCCCTTTCACACTGCAGTGTTCAAACCAGATACAGCATTTGGACATCATGCCATTACAACAGCTGCTCATTGGGTCGCCATCACAAAATTTTGTCTGATGCAAGCAGCAGGTGAGGCAGCGAGGTATTGAGCATGTTGCTCTGTGTATCAGATCAATGCAGCTGTGGGCAGGGAGAGACAACAGCGAGCTGCAGGGGTTACACAGATGATGAGTGCACTGTTCCCCATCTGCTTGACCCTGCAGTGCCTGCGTGGCGCTCTATACAGATCTGCAAGGGTCCGTTTCATTAAATTTTATGAAGAACCACAAGCAACTCAAATTTTTATGACTACATATGCCATGTGAACACAACTCTATCCAAGAGCAAAGGGAAAAATGGTAGAAGTGATTGATTCCCGCAATATTTAGATCTGCTGCCTTTAAATTTCTAGTCGACACCAACTCATTACTTTGCTAAAAGTGGAGTATGAAACAAAATGATACATACACAGCATAAAAACAAACATTTGTGTATGTGCAACAAATTGGATTGAGATTGTTATTTCCTGTTGTCCTTGATGTGGCAAGTGACCTACAAAACATAACTACAAAAAGTAAAACAAAAGATTCTTTAAAGCCAAGCAGAAAAGGATTTTGAAAGAAACCAAAAACGAAAAGAGCACAAAATGAAAAACAGGGCAGAAACACAAAGAAAAAGAATTAAAAGGGAGGACTTTAGATACAGAGGAGAAAAAATTTCAAAGTTGGGAAAATACAAACAAACAACAGGAAGAAAAGAATGATGGGCTAAGAGAATACCAGAGGAAAGGAGGTTCGGTGTGCAGAGGACACAATCAGGGGAGACTGGTGGCTCGGCCCTTGATGGCCAGGACCCGACGAGGAAGACACGGGGTCAAGCCTGGCACATAGTTCCACAACTTCACCCTGCAGTCACTGGGGTCCACGGGAGGAGGAGGAGGAGGAGGAGTACAAGGAGGCGAGAGGAGAAAAGCAAAGTGTGGAGGTCCAAGACAGGAAACAGTTGGTCGTAGTGAGGATGGCGATGGAGCAAGAGAACAACAGGAGATGATTAATAAAGTTTAAGACGTGATGAAAGAAGACAGGGAGAAGACGACCCAGACAGCTAAACCAGCACCCTCTTTGTTTCACACTATTATGAAATCAAAGCTGCAGTTCAACACTCTCAGCAACTCTGGTCTGAGCTGCTTATTAGCTCTCGAAATGATTCAGTCTTCCACAGAAAGATTACCTTTTAGGTAAAGGGCAATCTTTTTACTTCTGATCTTAACATTTTATATTGATGAAAATTTGAACTTTATGTCATTTGGCATTTGTAACTCCAAAGCTCTCATTAAATCATTTCCAGAAGACTTCAATAAAGGACTACCTACAAATCATTTTACATGCATGAACAAACTGGAAACAAGAAAATGCCGGTTGAGGGTCATTTCTAACAAAGTCCTTTGCAAAAGTGATTACTAGTTTACATTGAGTGACATTACACCAGCAAACTTGAAGCTCATTTTGGACTCTTGATTGTAATGCAAATTCTGACCCCCCACGAAATATATATATATATATTTTTTTATATATATAAGCTTTAAGTGTGTGCTCTATATAATGGGCAAAAAGTGAAAAACGTTCAATAGCTGTCAACATATTTGCAAGAAACTATATAGAGCTGAAACAGGACACAGTTTGTCAATATATTTCTTGAGACATACCTGGAGGCTGTAAAGATATGCCTGGAGTTGGTGCATATGGCATTTATGGGGCTGTCATGACCTCTGACCTCTCCTATGGGTGTAAAGTTTTCCACATTCCACACCTTGAGCATGCCGCCCCGACAGGCGCTCAGCAACATGGGCCGGGCAGGTACGTAGGCCAGAGCGCACACCCAATCCTTGTGGGCATTCGGGATTTGCTGTGAAGTCAGAGCAAACCTGCATTAGGAGGCGAATAAATAAATAAAAATACAAATATCTGACATTCACTTCTATAATCCAGCAGCAGACACTCGACTTTTGGGTTGCTGCATTCCTTAAATAACAGCAGATGCACATCCGTGTTTCATTTATAATGGAGCAAAAATGAATTATCTTGGGAACAACGGCATGTTCCTTGAATTAAAAGTGCACTTCGTCGTTGCTAGGCAACATAAAAGTACAAGTTTTTAGAGACCGTTTTTAGACTGAGCTACAGCTATTCTTAGACTGCGTCTATTCACCGTGTGTTTTACAATGGCTTCAAACAGAATTCACAAGCAAGGAACGATCTGCTCACATCAACACGAAGGTCTGTTCTGCAGCAACGGGTGATGAAGGTGGAGACCCATGAAGCTTGGTGTCATTTATTCTCAGGTTGAGCCAAAAGCATTTTAGTTTTACTTGACAATACGATTCATTATGGTTCATATATGTTAAATCTTTGCCCTCAAATCGTCTTTGCCATTTTATTTCGTAGGCTGTGTTTTTGCTCTGAGAAAATCCAAGAGTGCCACAGAAACATCAAACAAAAAAAACTCTGATTGGATATTGAGTTTTTTAACACAAGACTGTGAAAAATCACTGCAGAGGTAAGATGTCAAACAAAATCAGTTCACCCTTTTCCCCAAAAACACAGAGCAAACACAGAGAGAGCTATTTAAATTTTATGCAGGGCATTATTAAACTTTTATGACTCGTACAGTTTGGGTTTTAATGTTGTTCTATAATTGCATTCATCTCAGCCGCCAGGGCTTCACATTAAGGTAGCTTGGAGCAGAGGAACACACACTGAGGAAGACTGCTTTCCTAAATTAATCCCCTTCTTTTTCTTGCACATCTGTCATCTGTCACCACCAAATTTCATACATGCTTTTTATTTGCTTTTAATGAAAATACACCTAAAAGATTTTTTCACAATCTGCCATCGTTGAGACTTGCGCAACAGATGTCATTTATTTATTACTATCTGCCTGTAGATGTAAATACATGCTTTTTCTAATTTTAAAAATAAAAGAATAAAACACTGTAAAGTTAGATCATCTTAATGCAGCACCTTCCTTCCCTGAACTGCCGGTAAAGATAAATTTCAGGTCACCAGGAGGTAACCATAGATCAAGTACAAAACAAAACTAATTTCATCTTTAGGCAACAGCACACTTAATGTATTTTACACACATAATCCCAATATATATTTACCGTACTTTTCACAATTGAATGAAAAAGTGCATGAATTGTTACCAAAGGCATACTGTTGTTATTATCTTGTTTTTACATTGAGCAGATCTTTGGCTGCTCCAAATGCAACACTTCTCTCCATTTCTGCAGAAGACATGGTGGTTGCAGCATCATGCTATGGGGATGTTTTTCTGTCTAACTGGGTAACTGCCCCATATGGGGAGTAAGAGGACAACAGTCAAATACAAAGAATATATTTAATAAGATGATAGAGTGCATTAAAAATGGGCTGCACAGTTTGTGTTGGCATATCACACAAAATATCCAAATTTTTTTGATTGTAACAATGAAATGGGATGTGAATACTCTTTGCTGTACATTTTTTTCATCTTAAATGAAACAATTTTAAAACTTGTGTGAAAGTTCAATGTAGGCTTCACTATCAATTGTTGGCAAGGGAGGGAAAGCATATGTGGTCCATGATTATTCATAAACAGAAATGTTGAGAAACGGTGCAGAACGACCTGAACAAGAAGACCTGATAAATCTACATTAACACTCTCTGTTGTAGCTTTACACATCAGGGTGAAAATCTGTCAAATCTTTTGAACACCTTACAGAGAATAATACCACACAGTAATAACAACAGTTACATAAACACTTATTACTCGGCAAAGCTGCATACACACTGTAAGCTGTTTGGGAAGGCTATATTGGGACATTCATCATGTTGGGCAGTGTGGGATCCACTAGACTGCAGTCTTGAGTAATTATAAGAATATTACTTCACATATTCCTTGAGGAAAAGAACAACAGAGGCTTCTTTTTATGGTGCTGGACAAGGCTTAGGAGCTCCCAGTAATAATCCTGAAGAAGGCAGAGCTTCAGAGTCCACTGTAATATGTTACATTATTATACCCAAAGCCACAATTTGATCCCATTACATAATTATACAGAGATCGCTGAGTCAGGAAGGCTTTAAATGAATAGTGTTGGCTGCTTCACAAATGTGGTTAAGGTCATATGCTACAGTCCGTAGCAAAGAGAGAGATGATTTAATTCCAGCTCTGGAAAGAAATAATTATGTCCTGTGATTTGGCTTTGTCTGTTTGAATAAACAAAAGGCAAAACAGAAGTTATGCAAAACAAACTGGGAAAGTGATGTGCATGCAAATGAGTAAACCACATCCGCCCACAAGCTGTACGATTATGCATTATTAACAAACACAGACAGCAGAGGATACACAGGAGACGTGGAGAATCACAGGAACAAAGACACGCTCCTCCACCACTACCTGTGGTTGAGGTGTGAGCGGGCTTTAAGCTCCCCGCTGTTGACACGCCACTTTCCTGCCACATTACACATGACAACACACACCGCTGGCTACCTGCACACTGCGGGTAAAAGAGACGTGAAGGGATCACTCGGGTAGCAGGAAGCTGGCCACCAGCTGAGCTTGCAACTGGCTGCTCAGTTCTTCATGGTTATTACAGGGACCATGAGAGCTAAATAATTTTTAGGACTTCTCTTATGAAACAAATTTTTGAAATGCAACAGTTTTACAAGTAGCAGGCTGAACAAGTCAGCTGATGATATTTTTATTTACTTAAATCTTTTAAAATCATAAAAAAGAGAAACATCTGGCAAGACAGAAAACAAAAAACTTGTCTTTTAGGCCTTTTTTGGTCATATATTGGCACCAGTAATAAGCAAACAATGTTAAAAGATGTAGTTAGCTTAACTTCAGAAAGGTAAATTTAAAGTAATTACAGGTATACCAATAAACATTTTATTTGTAGTATATTCTACATTTTGATGTTTAGTTTTTCTCTATATTAGCGCTCTCCAATTACTGCTTTCTGATGTTGTGGTTTAGCTCAGTAGGATAAAGCAACTACTTTGAAAGTGTTACCTAACATTTTTATTTCATTCCTGCCAATCTCAGACACTTTAATTTATTTATACTTTACAGCTAGAGGCTAATCTAGCTGTAAAGTCCAAGTACTTTAGTAAAGTACTTGCTAAAAATAATACCAGCAAGTACGTCTCAAAGAAATGGAGCGATTTCATTTATATATCTACATATGCATGTTCACTCGTCCTAAGATACAGAAATCACGCATTGCTCTTACCAAATGCAGATTAGCTCTGAGCAGCTTGCAGGAATTTAAACTATAAATGGGTAAATATTTATGAGCTTTCAACCTAAATGATGTGGTGCAGAATTTTACAGAGTCCTGCTAGTCAGGAAGATGAAGCAAAGTTCTAATACTTAAAGAGGTGCTCCACTGATCAGGAGCTTATGCTTATGTAGTGATGCAGTTCTTCACCATTATAACTAATAAGGGAAATCTTACTGCAGCTATATACCTTGTTAGACCTTTAATTGCAGCACAGACTGTATGGGGCAGGCTGGACATTGCCCTGTAATTATGGGGGTCAAGAAATCAGGATTTAATTGCCTTCAAGACTTACTCATTGTTCAACTTGCAGACTCATGCCATGTTTCATCAAGAAAGTACTCCTCTAATTTCAATGTGTGAATTATTATCCACATGATAATAAAATATCCCTCCTCCTGTTAACTCAACCCAGTGAACCTCTGAGTGTCAGCAGGAGACAAAACACTAGGATCATGTAGCTCTCTGTTCAAAAATCACTTTGCAGCTGTTGACATGTATTAAACATGACAAATATATTTTTTGGGGTTCCTCACACATCTGCTACACTCCTCATACATGCAAAACAACACAAACCTGTGTGAGCTCCTGCTGCTCCAGCTCCCACTTCTTGATGCCGTTGTCTCGCGAGCCGCTGAACAGCACGTCTCCCTGCACGGCCAAACATTCAATGCCGTCATAGTGCGGCGGCTCAAAGTTATGAGCGGGACCCACATTACCCAGAGTTCCTTCTGCCACGTCAAATATCTCAAGAGAAAAAAAGAAAGAAGCATTATGTTGTGCACTTAGATAGTTAATGCAGAATCTTTCAAAATTCAAGCTTTCATAACACCCATTTCAAATTTTGTCACAGTTCAACCACAAAGTACAAAACAAATGTGTGGGCCCTTTGCCTCTATGCAGCCTTCATTCTCTAATAAGTTTTTTTAAACAACATTGCTGAATAAACAGCTTTAGCATCAAGGATCAGGTCAAGGATAAAGCTATGAAGATGTTTAATAGGAGTATGTTAGAAAAAACAGTCCTACCATTGAAAACTGCAAGGACACTAATGCTAACTCTGGAGGAATTGCAAAGATCTGTAGCTCAGGAGAGAAAAATCTAAAGTAGGATAACCACTAGTCCTATACTAGTTCTAACTTCATTTCTTACGATTTGAGATGAAGTCATAAGAAGTCTTGATTAAAAAGAAGGTGCTCTAGTCAGATAAAAAATAGAAAAAACCTTTTCAGTCAACACATAGAAAAACATTCCAAATTACCCTGAACATGCCATGGTCAAACAAGAGAGGATACTTTTCTTAATCAGAAAATATTGTAGCTGGTAGCGTTAGTGGGACTATAGAGCTAAATACAGGGAAGCCCTGAAGGAAAATCTAGTGGAAACTGCAACAGAGGTCAAACTGAGATGGAAGTTTCCATTCCAGTAAAACAGCCATAAATATACAGTCAGAGGTAACAAAATGGTTCAGATCCAAATATATTTGCCTTTAAATGTTGCTGTCAATGGCCTGATCTGATACCAACTAACAATCTGTGTCAAGACCTGAAAACTGATGTTCACAAATGCTCTCCACAGCAACATAGCTCAAATGTTAACTGGTTATAATTCCAGTTCCAAGTCTTGACAAACAGAAATGAATACAAATGAAAGCCACAATGTTTTTATGTACAAAGACGACAACTTGCATACTTTTTTTTTCTACTTCCCAATTAATAAAATTAGCTTTTATAATTTGCCATTGCAAAGTGACAGAATGTAAGAAAAATCAAGAGTGTATGGTTGCTTTTCCTGAGTTGTACCTTGACGTAATGGTCTTTGGAGCCAGTGATGACCTGGTCTTTGCCCAGCAGAGACTGTCCCACTGTCAGACACATGACAGAACCGATGTGGCCTGAGAGTTTGCCTGTTGCCTGCATCCTGCACAAAGAGACACCCACACTTAGGAGATGAAACAAAGGTCTGTGAAATTCATCACGAAAATGAAATCTGATTTTCAAGCTGTCTGTGTCACCACATGAAGACACCTTCCCTCTCTTGCGTAAAGTTGAACTATTACGACACACTGATGCCTCTGGCAGAGAATGAAGAAATGCCTAATTTGTTCATTTTTCATTTCTTGGGGGGTTTCTTATGCATCATTAAATACCTTGGAGCCCCTCAGCGCAAACTGTCTGCTCCAATCTGTTGATCACTTCTCTTTTAAGGCGTAGAAAAACTCAAGAAAATGATGCCTTACTAAAAAATATCCAAAACTGATTGTATAAAACACTGACTGGATTCCAAATCGACAGATGGACGGGCAGACAAAATGACTGGAAGAGTGGTGGACAAACAAACAGACGGATGGTTAAGTAGCCAGATGAACTAACAGGTGAATTATGGGCGATTGGCAGCATAATAGTATAATTAATATTGCATAAAAAGAAGGACCATAGACAGATAAATGGACAAAACAATTGGAAGAATGCTATACAAACAAACAAAAATTGAGCAATCAGTGAATTTTGGGTGAATTGATAGATGAGAGTTGGAGAAAATCATTGATGGATGGTTGTACAAACACATGGACAAACTAACATAAATTTTCAATACATTTTTCATAAACATAAAGACCAATAGATAAACAGTGAATAAGTGACTTATTACCTACATAATTAACCAAAGAAGAAAAATGCTACGTGAATGACTTGTTACAAATGTACCTGTTAAGGTCCCACATGCGAACAATATTTCCGGCAGCAGCATAGAGCACAGATCCTGACGGGTTGAGCGCTATCTGGTTGATCTGACACTCGCCCTGAGCAAAGGTGATTGTCCGGGTGGTTGTGCCAGCGCACGCGTCTCCTGTAACCACCTGCCCTGATGACCTGTCAAAGGGTAAAGCCAGGTCAGGCAGTGTAAAACAAACAAACAAAAAAAAAGATCAAATGTAAGAAGCAGCGGCCGCCATTTTCTCTAAAAGCACTTCAGTTTAATTTGTCACTTTAATGCAACCTGAAGCACATTGCTGAAGGGGAAAAAGAGCATTTTTGTACATCATCTTTTACTGAAATGTTTCATCAATCTCTAAATGGCGCCATCTAATTGATCAAGGAATCAAGCTTACGTCAGTGTGCGTATGCACTTGGCAGAGTCACGGATGTCCCACACCTTGATGTATGAGGTGGACACGCTGAAGACCAGACCAGAAGAGGGGCAATATTTTACCGACACCACGTTGTTTGGGTGGCCTTTGAGGGTGGCGATTTCCTGACCTGTGACTAGATTCCACATCTTACAGGTGCGATCTGAAGACAAAAACAGGAAAAGTTGGATTAGGATCCAAGGTTTTCTTCAAAATCTACAATACAATTCACTTTCTGTCTGCATACCCACTCTTCTGAGGCATTTAATTCAGTTCTTTATTGCACAGCTAGAATAAAACTGAAAAATTTTGGTGTTTTTTGTAATTTGTGAAGTAATGTCATTTGGATCTCATAACAGTAACATATTGATGTTGGTTTTAATGCTGCAAATATCACACAAGCAGCAGCTGCTAATCTTACTGCCTCCTTAATATCAACAATTTGCATTAAACTCTATTCAACGTGTAAAACATCATAATGCTAATATAATTTAAATCACATTTTTTCATATTTGAGATTAAATACGGATTAATGCCACTTTATGGGTGATCACAGGGGACTTAATTTAGTGCAATAGTGGAAAACAGTGAAAGAAAAAAGTGTGTTACAAAAACAGTGCATAAACCAGAGGGACAATGGCAAGCTGGACAGGATTTAGAAGCAAAGTTCATTCAACTCGTCGTTTCAAGAGCCACAGCACACAAACGTGTCCGTGATTGCACTTGTTGCATTCCTTATGTTAAGCCAATGATGAGTCAGAGGCATTACAGAAAGTGCAATATGTGATTGTTTTATAAAATATCTGTGGTTTACACTATTTTTGTTTTGTTAAAATTGGTTATGCAATGTAAAAGCCACATAATGTGGCATTTTCCTTCTACAAACAGGAACAGATTTGGTTTCAAATCACTACCAAATGCAGTGATAACATTCGTGACATCATATTACAATTATTTTAAGGTGACCTATTTGTGTTTTGTCAACTATGCATGCCTCTGTGAGTCTTTGTGTGTGTACCTTTAGATCCAGTGAAAAGCAGCTCATCTGTAGCATCCACACACAGAACCGGCTTCGAGTGGCCCTCTGCAACAGAGACACACTGGAGGGGTGCTGTCCGACCCCCCTTTACACCTCCAATGGGATTGATCACACCCCTATGGGTCAAAAACACCAAAACGACATCAGTTTCTAATCAGTTTAAATGAGAAAGGTCAAATGCGTTTTTTTTTTGTTTGTTTGTTTTAGATCAAAAGTCGATGCACAATACAATAAGCTCGTAGTGAGCATGCACACAAAAAACACTAGAAACTTTTCTGTAACCAATAAGAAGCCAGTTTATGCTTGAACTAATTACCCTAAGAAATAACTATGAAAAGTTGTTTCATTGTTCAGAACAATTTTATTACATTTTGAACACAAACCACAAATAATTTTGCTTGGGCATGAAAGACCATTACAATGTAGTGCATAATTGCAGAGTACGAAATTATATATATATATATATATATATATATATATATATATATATATATTATTTATTTTTATTTATTTATTTTTATTTATTTATTTTTTTAACAAATACAAATCTGAAAAGTGTGGCATGTATTTATATTCAACCCCCTTTAATGCACTAAACTAAAATCTACTACAACATGATGCTTTTATAAGATGTCATCTAATTAGTGGCAGAACTGCAAAAATCTACCATGACAAGGATATCCATCTACACTGGGAAACTGTACAAAGAGACAATCAAATAAGACCATGGTAACTCTGGAGGAGCCGGTCTTCTTCAATCAAAACAGGGAAGCCATTCATAGATAAGGAAAACACAGGGCAATTCTGGAAGAAAACCTATTAGAGGATATGAAAATCTTGTGACAGGGGTAAAGGTTCAGCCTCAGAGGATGCAGTGCTACTATTGTTCAATAAAAGTCCAGTCCTACTAGCATGTGATTTGTTGCCAAAAACTTAAAATTTGTTCGACATTTCTATTGCTGGATCTTTTTTTTTTTCTGCAAAGTTGGTAGAGGAATAATCCAGTAATAAAAAGACTGGTAAGGCAGCACTTCCCACAGCTGAATAAAGCATCTCAAGACTCATGCATGACACACCTGTCCACAGAGGTGGACGACTGAGCTAATAATGCCATTAACTTCATGATCTCTGTCTACAGAAGTCAGTTTGTCTTGCCTTTGTGCTTAACCCTATCCTTCTCTCCACGACAAAGTCATCAAGTCAACCACTACTGCCACCAACTAAATGTTAACAGCAACATGCTCAGTAATCAGCTGCTTATGTGCATTTCTCTTAAAAGGGCATCTCTTTTTCTTTAATATATAAAGTTCTACCCATCATGTGTTTCTTCTGTGTTTTCGGGGTGTCTGCTTGGTCTGTTCAAACCCACAGGAGACTCATAATAGAGCTGGAGCTTCCTTCACATTAAAAGGAAGTCTTTCCTTTCCCCTCGCCACATGCTAACTCAGCAGAAGGGCAGCACAGTCAGTGACTCGATGTGAACAACCAGGCTACATTACATAGAAAACTTTATACCTGTTGGAAAAATAATCTTAGTTTGATCAAATTGTGTTTGAAACTATAATTGAAACTCTGTGCCAACACTTTGAAATACTTTTCCTACAATTATGCACTACTTTGTGTCAACCTATTACACCGAATCTCACTGACACCCACTGAAGGTTTGTGTTGTACAATGACAAAATATAAAAAAGTTGAAAGGTTATAAGTACTTTTGCATGGCTTTACATGTCCTCGCGATGTTGGGAAAACAACACATTGATGTCTTAAGCTCTCCTCGCGCTCTCTGGCCTGCTCCCTTTTTGTTACAGAGCAACCCAATTAGCTCACTACAGCAGTAAAAATCTGCTCCCTTATTTTACTTGTCGGTCCGTTACCTCTTCTTCATAACCTCACATACACAGACATGTATTACGTGCACTCAGGCACTCGAGATGGACTGCCACAGCCTCCATCCCCTCCCAACCTTCCCAATCTATGTCACTGTGACAGGCCAGAGTCCCAGAATGCCTGGAGAGCAGTCATCAGAGTGAGAGGAAGACTTCTGGAAAAAAATTGGTCCCTGGTGGACTTCCTGGCTTGTACGTTGCACACAAGTGAGGGTGCATGTATGTGAGAAAGTGTGAGAAGAAGTGCAAAAGATACAGGGACAACTAGAGGATGTGAGAAAGCAAAACTGTGACTTGCACACCAAAAAACATTCTGAACAGATTTGTTTCTACACAAACACGGTTCACTGTGTCAAAGATGGCAACATGCTCCACTCATGTGCACAAGGAGATGAAGAAAACATCATTCAAATCACAAACATGAAAACATACTTCATAAATCTCGCTCAAAGCACGTAAAATGGCCAGCCAATTAAAAACAGAAGTCTCATCCATGAGCCATTAAAAAAAAGTGAAACATGCATGCCTGCCAAGATTCACGAAGCACAAAAATTCAACTCACTGGCACAGAACAAGCTCAAAAGCAATTATTAGCAAGAAAAAAAAAAAGTCACAGTCAAATGAACAACTCTACGAACAATGAACTCCATCTTGGGATTCGGGAATGTCCTTATTGACACATGCAGCACACTGTGGACTTTTATCCCCCAAAACGGGAGGTGGAGTCTCAGCTCCTGCACAGCCAAAAGCCTTTAGGGACCCAGAAAGAAGGCTATGTGGTACATGTAGGTTAGGTGGAAACAAGTTGTCCAGTGAGTAACTTCTCCAGGGATTACAGGACAAAAGTTCAGAGTGAAATGGAGAGTCACAAAATGCCTGTCTTGTTTTTTTTTTTTCCATTTTAAATAAAATTCCCATTGTGGATTAAGCTACACTCATTTTACAAGTTCTATTTTCCTGCTAAGTTTAGAGACTGAATGCTGTACATTTCAGCAAATACACAATATTCTTGATAGGACTCAAGAAATGCAGAAAGATAAAGATGCAGTAGCATCACAAAGGGAGGGATGTGGGTTAAGGGGATGAATGTAAAGCAATGCCTAACTCACCTGCCAGATAGTCTTCTGTGCATAATATTTTTATGGATTTGAATTTAAAACCACTCATATTATATTTTAATATGACATTCTTTCACAAATACTTTAAAAGAAACTGTGTCAAATAAATATACTGCTGAATAGGTTTTCTCCATTATTTAAAAACAATACCAAACTTTTTCAGAAGCACTTCAATAAGAGTAATGATATACATTTTTCCCCACTTAGATGATGTGAAACTAAACTACTTTTATTTGACAAAAGTAGGTTTTGACAGCTTCAATTTGAAAGCTTTCTATTCTGCATGTTGTTTTTCTCTAAATGACAACCGCCACTGCTGCCTAATGCAGCACTTCATATCTTACAATAGAGCAACACTTCAAATGACAGATATAGTTCCAGTTTTATCAGCGTCTGAGGACAGGATATCACGATCTACTGTGTTGTGCACTCTGCGAGAGCTGCTAATGGATGTTGCAGGGCTAAGAACCAAGAGACCAGCACGAATGAAAACATGGAGGGAGATCAGCATGTGCTCTCTGAAGTACAGAGAAAAACTGGCAGAAGGAACTTCAGGAAAGTCTTTGTGTGTACTAGAAAAGATCAAGATGTTTTATATATCTATATTTAATGAACCATATTTGTCTAGAAGAAATACCAAGAAAGTTTCAACATCTGGGTGGGAGATAATCATTCCTGATTTAAAATTGGATTGTAGTAGATTTTTGAATCTAAGTGTCCGGCATCAAGGGTTGTTTGTTTTAATAAAGTGAGCAACATTTTGTTAAAATGAACAACTTTTAATAATTCAAGAGAGAAAGTTGAATCTCATAACTGAAAAAATAAAGTGACACTGAAGACATTTTGTAAAGTCGTAAACTAAGTGCTGCTAAGTGTAAGTATTGTTTATACACCCTCTCTTTTACCCCACAATTATTGTCAATTATTAAAATGATGTATAAAAGCCTTCAGATAAAATTATATTATTGGAGTAGCATAATTACACATGGACAATTTTAAAGCCAACATTTGAGTATGATTGTAAATGACCAGTGACACAATTACTGGCACCCTAACAAGCTCCTTAAAATAACTGGAGCAGAATAATTATTTATTATATTTTCTACTTAGTTAGTTGTTAATCAGTGTTTCCAATAAGTACATAAATAAAAAAAAATGATAAAGGCATTGACAAAACATTCCTACACTGCCAAGTATTAGAGAGCTGTAGAAAAGACTGACATCAAGTCTCCATAATAACCATAAAAGATAATGGGGTAAAAACAACTCATGCCCACTGTTAGGTGGAGGATCTATGATACTGTGGGCCTGTTTCCCTTTTAAAAGCCCTGAGAACCTTGTTAAAGTGTATGACATCATGTATTCAAAGCAAAAGCATCAAGATAATTTAATAAAAATCTGATGGACTTTGTAGCTTTTAATAGGGTTCCTTGTCAAATCACCACATGATGCATAATCACCATTTTTCCTCTGGCCATTTGGAGGATAAGCAGAAGAGAAGACACAAGAAAGGGCCCAGAACTCTCTTCAGAACGGTCAAATTTTTCTCTTTATACCCCCCAATCTTGTCGAACTTGTGAAATGCTACAGGAGACGCCTATAACACAATGTGCTGACGGCTAACCATTGTGCCTCTACCCAAAACACTTAAGAAATAGCATCCCTTAATAGGAATGTTAAGAAATAATTGCATTGTACAATAGATGTGTGCAAATTAATATTAATATTTTTCCAAAAAATTATTCAGTGTTATGCTAGTGCAATAAAAGATGCCTTAATTTCCTGAACAATTGTGAACTGTGTTGAATGAGTCTTGAAAGTTGGTTTCAAACATCCTCTTTAGCCGCTGCTCATTCAAGTACTTCACAGTTGGAGATTTTCCCAGCTGGAGATGTGCTCTCACAAGTGGAAATCTTCCAGTGTGTTGCAATGGCTGATTGAACAGAAGACTGGACATGAAGATGTATTTCTTGTATTTTTTTTTCCTTTTTGTTTTTTTTTTTCTTTACCATGTCAAGAAAAGCAGGTGAGACTCCTTGCTTGAACATATGCAAGATGTTGATGAGGGAATAGAAAGCAACATGCAGGTCGGCAGAGTGGATTAGCTGCTGGCGTATCACACTGGCTCACTCCATCATTCTACTAGCCCTACAGACTAGGTACTTGTTGGAGGTAATCTACCATGAGACGTCCAAAATGAATGTTGTGAGCACATGTTTTCTGACTTGTACTACTTCCACAAGATGTCAGAACTCTTTCAGAGTGGCATGTTGTGTTTGTAAAAGCAAACCCTTAGAAACATGCGGCGTTCAAAAACCAGAAAACGTCTGGTTTTCAAAAGAAAAGGTTGAATGACCCTACTTGTCATTCACCCCAAGACCAGCAGGTCATTAGGGTGAAACTAAATTGAAGACAGATTTAATGTCTCAGATTTGATGGTTAATCTTTTATTTCTCGTACTATTAAAAGATAAAGTGATTCAGTTGAGTTTTAAAATGCTGCATGTTGAGGACTTCTGAGAGTGATAGTGAATAATAGAAGAGTCCATCCCTTAGTTTTGTTTCAACTTTTAGACCAACCAAGTCAACAGCCGTCCTTGAAAAATAAGTATATAGTGATATGGGAAGGGTTTTTTTCTACACCACAGCAAGCTTTGATTTGCTAACCTCTATTTTAAGCCTTTCATCTAAAACTAAACTAATACTGCTATGAGGCTTTGCAAATTCTGATGTATTGCCCCTTTATGCCTTTCAACAGTGGAACAAAGAAAAGCTGTATGACTCGTACAGGTCTTGCATGGAACCACAGAGAAACAGCATGGCAAAGATAGAAAAAGCTACCTATAGTTAATGCATGCATTTCACAGTGACTTCAACCATGGAGGACTGAAGGGAGAGGCGAAGGTGAAAACAAGACACCATACAAGTTAACAGGCAAAACGGGAAAACAGAGCGACAGACACGATTCCTCTACCTGAGCACCTCGGAGAGCGAGGAGTCGCTGTCATCCGACCTGGAGGCAGAAGAGGAGCGAGGAGAAGGCGGGAGGTGGGAAGAGGAAAGGGTTAACCACGGTAAGAAAAGACAGAAGGGTTACTGCATGGCAAAGGGTTAAAAAAGGGAGCACAGACAAGTAGAAAGGGGTTCAGACATAAGAGCACAAACAGGCAGGAAAGTTCAGTCAAAAATAAATCTTGTTCAGTGAGATTAGGCAGCTCGCTTTATAAGTCACTGAACAAGCTGTATTATTTGACCAATGTCAGTCTCAATCCGGCCACCAACACTCAACATTAAATTGACTTAATTTTTGCTAAAAAATACAGGTTAAAAGGTTTGGAACAGAAGGTCATTTGGATAAGTACAGTCATTTGCATTCTGGTCAAGACAATAATAGAGTCATACAAAAATGTACACTTAGCAGCCTGTTAGCCTAGCTCATAGGAGGTCAGCTGAGAATGATATCTGTCAACAACACCAAAAACTGTCTGGATTCAGACAAAAGTTTATAAAAATACATACTAGACTATGTTGGCTTTCAACCTATAAAGTAAATATGATTCATGAAATCATGTAGTGACTGGATTTGGCCCCTTTTTTTTTTAGCTTAATAAGACCTAACCAATGACCAGCAGGTCAAAACGTCAAAGATCAGACCTTTAAGCCAATTAGTGAATGTGCCATACTTAAATGCTATAGGTCACTGAAATCTCTTCAGTATGTTAGCTATATTCAGTTCTGCTCTCAAGGGAATATTTATTGAGGCATCACTGTTTCAGTATTACTGGCCATTCTGAAGACCATTTAAAATGCTGACCAAATAATCTTTTTATTTTTGTTTTGAATGAGTGAGAGCTCTCTCTCAAACATAATGTGACAAAACATGGGCTTCTAAAATAAATAAGGCCAGAAGAATCGTTTTTAATCCCATTCTCTTAAATTCTTAGACTTTTCTCAAAGCTTTATAAATCTAGTTTCCAAAAATTGTCTATAAAACTCTGATTGTTGTGACTGTACCTTAAAGTACAAAAACAAAGATTAGCTTTCTTTATTTTACACTGATTGTAGAAGTTATTCACTAAAGCTAAACTAACTGCTGCTGCTGCCTCTCCACTTGTCTTTTGTGAACCAACAAGATGGATTAGCAGTGTCAACATTCTCACATATCGCTCTTGAAGAAAGCAAATAGTCGCATCTCCAAAAATGTCAAACTGTCAGTCGAAACAAAATAAAAACTTAAGGGGATTATCAGGAGAGAAAAAAAAGGCTGCTAAGGAGGAAACACTGATGCCAAGATAGTCACACCAAAGGTCGCAGATTAGTTGCTCTTTGGCAATGGGGTCAGGGTCACCTCTTAAATTGAATCTTTGCTGACATTTTCAAGACATTAGTACAGAAAACGGATATTGGAGGGAAAACAGGGTTAAACAAAAGGAGGGGAAAACTGCTGAGTTAAGGGAAAACCCAACATCCATGCCACACTCAAAAGTCAAACAAGTTCTGTTAGACAATGACAATATAATGATGAAAAATATATTCAGTCGTCTCCTATTTGTCACCTTGTTATTTTTTTCTAATAAAAAAAAAAATCTCAATATTCTGTAGGCATGGGCTGGTAACAGATTTCAAAGAATGCATGCATTTAAAAAATATTTTTAACCCCTTACAATTATCCATCAAAATAAGAAAGAAAATAAATTATTTATTTAAAAATTGTCAAACAAAGCCACAAAGTGCTCCTTGTGGTCAAAACATGGATAACTACAGATCAAACGTTAGCTAGAAAAGTATAAATAGTTGGAAAACTTTATTTTCTTTCCATGGTTTAAGTTAAAAACAAAAAGTACCAGAGTTTTGACTCGCCGTATGGGGCATAAACTACTAAACCACTGAAAAGCATCTCATACCAGCTCATACCTAGTTCTAGGTTTGTGGAAGTAGCAGAGCTAACAAAAAAAAAATAAAAAATTACTGCAATTGATCCATTTCTCTCTTTTTATAGCAACTTTCCCCAAAAGCCTTTAAAATGCATTGCTTTTTCAAATATAATGTGAATTCTTACAATAATGATTAAAGCCAGAAGATAAAACAAGAAAACTGTTTCAAATTTGTTTATTTTAGGCTCACCAGTTGTTGTTTTTTTAACTCATAAATGGCTTGATTCTCGTCTCGTAGGCAAAAAAAAAAAAAAAACACTTAAACAGGAATGAGTGATTAGAGAGTAAAACTTCTTTTTTGCATTTTAAAAGATGCAAAGGGATGCTTGAACTTGAAAAGATGTAGAAGAGCTTTATCAGCACAATTCCTCATTTCTCATCATTCAAGAGGTTTTGTGCTTTAAAAAAATATTAGATACATGTAAGCATGTATCTAATCCATGAAGTGGTAGAGTTCAAAAGGTCTCAGCAATGGAATAAAATTATAAACTTGGAATGAAAGCAGTTTTTTAGCAAAACATTTACACATCTCACATATAACAGAGATAAAAACAAACAGATGATGTCCTTCCAAATAAATAAATAAATTCCAAGACTGCCAACAACAGCACATGAGGAAGAAAAAAAATCCACAATTCAATCCATCTTGCTGCATCATATTGTACAAGAGTATTTTCCTGGGGCAACCTTATAAGAGACCTTAAATATAAACACCTTCCCACACCATGTTAACTCAAAATGGCTTCCATCAACAACAGCTGCACAAGCACATGACAAGTGCCATCCCATTTACCTACCTCTGGTCCAGATAATGAGGAGCCACAGGCTCCAGCACACACAAAGTCAGCAGTTATTAACATACCACACGCACAACACCCTGACTGATTCCTCAAAGCAATCTTGCTAGCAATTAGGGTTCTACAAAGCCAGGATATTCAATGACTTAATAACAGATGGGAAATGAAAAAAACTAAAAAAAAACTGCAAATGCTGGCTGAAATTAACCACTGACATTTGTCAGAGTAGGATGTTGGAATTGATTGCAAACGGGAAGGGAAGCAAGTCCTCATTTCTGGCTGGGCTCTCCTTCCTTCAGCTGACATTGGATCCATAAGACCTCACCTCCTCAGTTTGATGTAACTAAATAATTACATTGCAAAAAGTGTCTTTTTACACTTTTAAATGTTGACACCGTTAGAGAAATGTGGCAGCCAACTTCAAACCTACTGCACAATGCAGATTTTGGGACGGTTTCATTTGCATTTTCAAGATCAGTCATTTTTTGTGCATAATCTTGTTAAAAAAAACAAAAAGAAAGTGCCTCAAAAATGCAAAAATACCCATTTAATTTTCTCAAACATTGTTACTTTACTACCACAAACTTAAATGTATATTATTGATGTTTATGGAACAGACAAAGTAGCGTACTACATAAGTATACATTTAAAAAGAAAGGATACATGATTTACAAAAAACTTTTTTGCAAATAAAAAATCTGAAAAATGCATATGATGGTAACATTTTGTTGTTGAGAGAATTATTTTTTTGGCTGAAACGGGGAAATTGGGCCCAGTTGATAGAAAGATAAATGGAGCTAAAAAGCAATTCTAGATGAAAACTAGCATAGTTAGTAGGTGCAAAAGACCTGAAAATTGAGAAGACCTTAAAATATAATAATGAAAAACCCAATTCTGAAATCAAACAGACCTCAATTTTGATGTTCACAGAAGCAAACACAATTTTCTGATTTTTATTAATAAAAATCACATAGGTTTAGGAACTTTGTTGCAAATCTGACCGCAACATCAAATTTGTTGTGATCTGATGTTTATCAGATCCCAACAAACTTCAATAATGTTTCTGGTTGCAATGAGACAAAATATGAAAAAGTTTAAGGGAGATTAATAGTTTGGAAATACTATAATATTATAAAATTCAGCTGATCTGACTTTTTCAGTATCTTAAAGTCTTTCCAACATAGCTTTTTGGACTTTCTGCAACACTTAACACTAATGGGAGGAAATAAAGTGTGGAAGTGGGATTCCATTCTACATTGCTCTCCAAAGGTAATGTATTTAATGCATCGATATGAGAAAGAGGCCTGACAACACAGATAGCACGAGGAAGAGGAAAGGGAAGATGAAGAAGAGGAAGAGGGATAGGAAGAACAGGAGGAGGAGGAAATGACTGAACTGAGCAGATGTGGGTGCAAAAAGTGCACAGCGTCTGTCCGGGTCTCTGTGCAGGACGGTACTCACTTGTCCAGAGCAGAACCTTGCGCTTGGTTGCTGGTCAGTCTGGAGAAGACGTTGCGATCATTCCTTGTCCTTAAAGGAGGTGAGGAAGGGGGAGTGTAGACATCAGTGGGCCTGATGAGGAATTAAAGAAATAATAACATGTCAGTGAAAACTCAATAATCGAATCTCCATCCGATCTTGAAGTCATACGTACCTGTACGAACGGTCGTAAGATTTCCTTCTTGTAATAGGGGAAGTGTCATAACCTCGAGATTGTCTGGGACTAAGACACAGATAACAGAAGAAAAAACTAAGCTGATTGCAAAGGTGCTCATGAGAGATGAAATGGATAAAATATAAGACACCATTTTAATAAGTGTGTTTTCTAAACCAGGAAATTAAAACTCAAATTGCAGCTGAAATCAGATGATTTTTTATTTAAGTAGCCAGTCAAAAAAACCCTCAAAAATGTGAGATTTTCTTAAACATTTCAAGAGGTGTATGACCATCTGGCCATTCTTTGGCTATCATCTCATTAGAAATGTTATTAAGTATTAGTGTTGCAAGAACTATTTGTACAAAAACAATGTGATGCAGAGCTAAGAAGCAGCATGTGCATGGAGATCTTGATAACACAAAGTATGAGCTAAAGTTGGCAGAAAAAGAACAAATGCTGGTAGCAAGTGTTGAAACTGGGAATGACATCTAACTTAACTCTACTCCAGTTGCTCAAAAACCAGTGAGTTTCCTGATATACTCAGTGTATTGCCTACTAACAAATATTATAGCAACATCTTCAGAAAAAGGAAGTTATAAAGGATTGTGACTATAAATGGCAAAATCTACAAATGAACATTAAATACCAAGTTTGGTTCATGAGTAAACAGCCACTCATAACCAGAAGGCTAGAAAAAAGATTTTGGAATGCTTGTCTTTTACATTTTCTCATAGAAATCAGTAATTGCAGCACAAATATTTACAAACAACATAAAAAAAATTGTTACAAAATTCTAGTTAGGGAATCTGAACAAAAACGGTCTGTAGTCTTTAAGAAGTTCACTGAGAGTAATTTCAAACATTAATCTAGTATGATCTCTCACTCCTAAGATTAACAATTAATCAACACAGTTTGCTTCTCCATGACTTACAAAGTGTGTCCTCTGACAGGAAGGCTGATTGTGCGGGACGCTCGTTCCCTGTGAAAAGGGTCCCGGAGGGGCACGCTCAGTGCCAGACTTCCTGGAACAAGACTCAAGCCATCCTCCTGGATGTCGGTCAGTGAGGCTAGGGACTTAGTGATGTGCTGCTGCTTGCTGCTTGATGAGGGATCCAGGATGGGGCCGAGGTACTCCGCAGACACCGCCTTCATCTGGGCCGAGAGGCGAGGCTCCATCTGGGTGAATCAAGTGAAGAGATTGTGTTAAAAAGTACCAGAAAAGCCAGGGTGAACTGAGAAAGGAGGGCAGTGGGATGACAGAATATCACAACATATAATACAATAATGAATGCTAAAAATTATTCCAATGCATGTTTTGGTGAGGAAATGAGAAGACAAGGAAGCATAAGCTGCTAGCAAATAAATATTAATGTTGACTAAAAACAAGAGACACCAAAGTCTAAAAAGGACCAACATAAACAGAAGATCTGCATCAACGCTGACTGTTTTCTACCATCAAGGTTTAAGTGTTTGCCTCTACTGCCTCCCTGTGGTTTCAACCAGTGAAAGCAGGCAGACAAAAACCTCAAACACCAATACAAAGTGATATTGTTCCTCTATATAAAGAGCTTTACCTTTATTTTAAAGTCATCCTGGCTGTTGGATTCCTTCATCTGTGACACACTAAATGAATCACAGAAAGGTGAAACAATATAAACAGATGTTGCATAACTTTTAGAGATGATTTAATGCATTTTTTCCACATTAGGACAAAATGATCAATACCAAAATATGTTAGCCGTGTGCTTTCAGATTTTTTGATGATGAGGAAGTAAAGTGGAGATGCTGACGGCTCACCTGCTGTCAGAGGCTTGGCTGAACTCAGAGGGCTCCTCGTCTGTGCTGGCGTAACCATTTTCTGAAAACAAACAAAGCACAAAACCCGAAAGCTCACAGTAAACAGTGAGGACAAATCATATGTTCAGACAAACAAGGTGACACAGCCTTGTTGGTGAAATATCCTTCTTTGATGTTTTATGCTGCACACGCTAATGTGCTTGAATAGAGCCAACATGGTTTTCACTATATTCAGTTTTCAGCCATGCTCCTTCTGTTTTCATAAGATGGATTGAACAGTGCTCTGTAAAATGTTCAGACTTGGGATTTATAACCTGAACATGCTTTAAACATCTTAATCTCCACCCTATCTGCTGTGTTCCTTGGTCTTCATGATGCTGTTTGTTAACTATGAGGCATTCACAGAACAGCTGAATTTATTATTCAATTAGACTACATAGGAGAAGTCTTAAGTGCCCGAGGGTGGTGGCATTGGATTTTATTTAGGTTTATCAGAGTAAAGTCATCTAAATACAAATGCATGTTAGAGTTATTTTTTACATTTTTATTCACATAAAATTTCTAAAGCTTTGTGTGGTTTGTGTTGTCCTTTCAATTTTGATAAAACATCAAAATTTTATGTAAAATATGTAGTAAAATATTAAGAAATCATATTAATCTATAGGCCACTAATACATTTTGTAATTTTTGGTTTGTCTAAATTAAACAATCTTGGGGTGAAAGGCGGTGCAGGATTTGACCAATGGTAATTTCTTTAGACACATTCCTGAGCTGCACAACCCAAGTTTCAAGAGAAGGCTTGATCGGCGAGCAAAAGCAAATATTTAGTGGCTGCTGATCTAAAGTAAACATTTTGAACACAACAAATCTTAAGAGTAATGCCTTAAATGTTCCTAAAATGATAAGAAGGTGAAATAAAGCAAACCAAACGCAATAAAAAATATTTGACTTTTCCCTCATTTTATTTAGTTTATGTTTTGTCTTGCATTCCAATAGAAAAAGAAATGCTCTCACCTTGCTGGACGTTGTGGATGAGAGCCTGGAGCTCAGGAATGCACTCGGCCTTTTCTCTCAGCGCGTCGAGGATCATGTGATTGTGAGACGAGCCGATCACATCAGTCTGCCTCAGCTGACCCTCGAGCAGTCGGATCTGCGCCTCCCTCTGAGCCACCTGTAAGCTCTATACACAGTCACACAGGCAGAGAAAGAAATAGACAAGGAGAGTAAGAAGATTACATTTTTATTTAATAACTTTCATTTGAGTGGTTTAATTGGGGTCAAACTTTTCAAACTACAAAGCTTCAAACTTTCTCCAAAGGCACAGAATGAAATGCAGAACTTTATTATTTGTGTGGAGCCTTTCTTATGAGTCATTATAATTAGCAGCTAAAAAACAAACACATGGAAGGTTTTAAGGAAGTAAATCAAAGCCATGGTCATGAAGGCTTTATCCAGAACTTTTCTTGCAAGAGAAAATTTGTCTTTCAAAATAATCCAATATAGGATTGCTTGGAAATACTACTTTATTCTTAATTATCAATAAAGAAAACAACTTTTTATACTCCTATAAACCTGAATCAGAGCTGAAAATGTGGCAATACAATTGTATAACATTAACTTTTAATATTCCAGTATGAAACCTTGCTGTAGTACAAAGAGATACCACTAGATGACATACAAGGAACCTTTTACAACTGCAACACAAGCAACTATAAAAAGGTTTAAAAATCGGTTCACTTGTCTTTGTGCTTCTGTTTTTCCTCATGTTAACTCACCTTATCAATGGAAGCCTTCAGGAAGTGATCCAGCAGGTGGCGCGCTTCAGCCAGGGAACAGGAGCTGATCACCACTGAGGTATCCACCGAGTCCAGTTCATCCTGATTAAAAACAGCACTCGCATCAATGGAGGAATCGCATCACAACACACACACAGAGATGTGTTTTCATGTAATTATGTTTCTTACCTTGGTCTCCTCTATCTGCACGATGGTGGCCTGGCAGTCAGACAGACTGTCATTGATGTAGTCTATGTTGGCATTCAGCACCTCAATCTCCTCGTTGACTTCCTGGAGGAGGCGGTCCTCCGCCTCTGGCCCCTCGCCGTCGGCCATCAGTACCTCCCTTTTATGTGAGAGAGCTTCCTGTTGCATCGTCAGCTCTTCTCGCTTCTGACTCATCAAAAACACAAACAGCACAGGCTTTCAGAAATTAATCATAATTCTCTAAAACAATAAAAGTAATTGGAGTTTGTTTCACATCCATTTTTCATTTGGCCTGATACATACTTAAACACCTTTGTTGGTTTTAGTCTTAAGGTGTTGCAATTTAGAGTGACCACAGCAGAGAGCTGCTTTTACTCACACACAACGGAAGAAGAGGAACCAAGGTCCTCACAGTGGTTTCATTTCTTATCTACTGACATGAACGAGTCAAAACAGCTGCTACCGGCTTCGTTTTCAATCTGATGCTTAATTTCTGCTGACAGCTCATCTCATCTGGTGGCATGCAACGAGGTAACTCCAACAAAGGAAAAGAAATCCCATTTTCTAAACATATTAAAAACACCTTCCCACACCTTGATAAGGCGATCCATGTCCGCTTCTACGTTGGAGATGGTCATTCTCTGCATGACGATGTCCATGATGCGACGCTCAAGGGTTTGCCACTTCAGACGGGCAGACTTGGAGAAGCTGTTGGCTCTGCCTGCAGGTGCAGTGCTGCCCAGGACCGCTGGCTTCCTCTGAAGCTTCTTCCTGCTGTTGGAAAGTTATAATGAAGAAAAACATCCCCAAATGATGAAACTGTTCTGTTTCTAAGTACTAATAGAATTTCACTGCATTTCCTTCAGTGGCATCAGATCTAAGGGGACTGAAAACATAAAATCAACACATTTCATTTTTTACTCATAAAACTGTTATGTTTTTAAAGAAACTTCAACTTCACAATAGCATTACTTGTCCCAATGCATTCAACCTTGATGAAACACACAGCAGTATGTGGTTGTAGCGAGTCAAAAGGTGGAAAGGTTGGACAGGAAGGGGAGGTGAATACTGCTGCACAGATTCAGCCCCATTTATGCAACAAGACAATTACTTACCTAATCACCCGCGTCCCATCCACACTCCCCTCGCTCTCTGCCATGTATCCATATGCGTTGTTCTTGTTGTTCCACTGGCGCACCAGCCCGCTCACAGTCCTCGCAGTCTCCGCCTCAGAGCTGCTTGCCGTCGTGTTGGCCGACAAATCAGCTCCGGAGTCCGTAACTGGAGTCGTCTGGTTCCAGCGGGCAACTCGACCCGCCACGCGGTCCGACATGGGCTTGGCCATGCGCCGCAGGGCCGTCACTTCCTGGGTCTTCCTACGCAGCACCAGCTCCTGCTGCCTCTTTTGAGACTCCAGCGCCCGAATCTGGTACTGATGTCGTCAGAGTAATACAAGCCTCAGCATCATTTAGAGTTCATAGACGGCTTTTTTCTTTTATTTAAATTTTATTTATGTTCCGTAGCACAAAGTGTTTACTTTTCACACAAGTTCACAAAGTACTGATCAAGAAGGGATTTAAGACTTAAGATGAAGCCCTAGATAAAAGGATTAGGACCGAGGCCTACAGCATCACTGTGTACTGTCTATTGCGCCAAAGAAGCAAACAGAACCCAAATGGGAAGGTAATATTTTCAGAATATGTGCTAATGTGAAGAACAAGATGCAGAATGTAAACTGATTACATATAAACCCCCATTTTTAAGTGTTTTACAGCTTTGCATTTATTTTTTCTTCAGGCTTTCTATCTTCCCTTTCCGAAAAGATTCTTTGGTAAGTCAGCTTAAACATTGCATGTTGTGAAATATTGGCTCTCGTATCTCAAAGCTTCTTCTATTTCTGGCAGTGGAGCAAATATTTAAATGCATATGCAAAATATTAAAGACGGATAGCTACAATCCAGTGAAGCTGATACATGTCCTCTTGAGAGGACACAAATACACATCTCCTCCAAATACACAATCTTTAAAAGCTTCCTCACCTCCTGTCGCCGCTGCTCCTTCTTAAGCTGAGCAATCTCTCGATTCCTCTTCGCCTCCACCATCCTCCTTCTCTGTTGCTCCTCTTTCATTTGCTTCATCAGCGCCACCTGCAAACAGCCCGGAGGATGGCAACTCAAATAAATTTCTTTATTCTTATCATTCTGTCAGAATAATTCTTCCCGACTCCCCCTTACCTTTGCTTTCTTCATCTCATTGACTTCAGTTTGGAGCTTCTTCAGTTCCCGCTCATACCTCCCCTGGTTTTTGAGCAGACGTGCATGCTCCTTCTGCGCTGCCTGCAGCTTCAGCAGATCACGGTTCATTTCTTTGAGGCGCTTCTCGTACTCCTGCCTGATCTTGCTGGCCTTCTCCTCAGTGTAGTTTTCCATGGACACTGCGTAGGCATGTAATAACGTTGAATAGGTGCTCCGAAGGGTTATTAATTGAGGATTACCGAGCCTCACTCACTGAGGTTCTGCAGCACGCGGTCTCTCTCCAGCTGCGTGTCTCTGATCTTGTTCTGCAGCAGGATGAGCTTCTCCTCGTACTGGAGCTTTAACATTAGCAGCCGCCGCTGGCTGTTCTCCAGTTCGTCGATCAGCTTCTGCTTGATCTCAATCTCACAGGTCAGGTCGGCAAGATCTGCCTGGAAGTTGGCTGCAAGTTGGGAGGTTCAAAAAATTATTGGAACTCCAGTCTAAGAAAGAACTGGATGCACAGTTTTAAAAAAAACTATCAGTCCAAACTGACATGTTAAATACTGAACTTTTAAAATGTTTTCATTGTGAGTGTAACTACTAAATGTAGAGTCTGCAATTACCTTTCTCATCCGAGTCAGAATCTGAATCCACCAGGCTCTCGTCACTGTCAAAATCGTCCTCTTCCTCCCTGCCCTCCTCCTCATCTTCGCCTTCATCTTCCTCACAGCCGCTCTCCTCCTGCAGTGGAGACATAATATCCTACAGAGGCAAACACTTTATTTAAGATGTTGTTCTGCCTGTATGGTGATGACATGGTAAAGGACGAAGACCTCACCTCGGTGTAATTGTCATCTGAATCGATCTCTCCATTCTGTCCATTTTCGCCGCTTCGCCGACTCTCCCCGTTTTCCTGAGTGTGCAGCTTTACTCGTTTCTTGAGACCTTTCTCCAACTCTGGGCTGCAGGAGATAGAAAAGTGGTTTTGGGTAAAAGGTGTTTATAAAATAAACACATATACAACATCTAGGGTTGCTACTATCAATTATTTTAGTAATCAATTAATCCATCAATTATTCTGATGATTAATCAGATTAAAAAATGTTGACATTCTACAGATTTTTCATTTGACCACTACAACCTTTTTTATATAGGAAATAAAAGTGCATTTTTTTTTATAATAAATGCCAAATGTATGTACATTTTGTACAGAATATGTTGCTTTTCAGCCAATCACCTTTTTCTTATTTAGTCTGTAAACTCCAGTTATCAAATAATCAATTAGTTATTTCCGTAATCGATTTATCATTTCAGTCCTAATAATATCAATGTATTTCATCGCCCTGCATGACTGCTGATGCTAAAATGGTTGCTTTATGCTCCAGCAACATTTGCAACACTGGCTTTTTTTTTTTTTTTTTTCACAGAGAAAATGAGTCTTCTAATGTAATTGCCATAGTCCATTAAAGTACATCAACTTTTATCTTCCCATTAGGTTCTTAAGTCTTATTACTTGCTTTATTTTCCCCTTTGCTCCTACTTTCACAGATTTTATCACCAATTCCATCTGCCACCACTTCTAAGCAATTAGTCTGCTAGATTCCTACTCTTGTCTCTTATGACCCCATGGCTAACTGTGTGAAACCTTTTAGTGTCCCTGCCAGCATTACAACCCAGCACTGATAGCACTCCAACTCTCCCAAAGTCCCAGAGTCATAATTGACTTGGATGAATCTCTTAAAGAGAAAGTGAGGCAGGAGAGCATGTTTGCAGAGCACATTAATCCCTTTCAGGCTGAAAAATTCAGCACAGGTGCATCAATCCAAGCTGAGCAGGAGAAATTAGGAAATTGTTTTACATAAAGCTTAGGTGTTTGAAGTCACTGTTTCGCTTTCAATTTAGAAGGGTTTTATTTATGTTTGGATTTTCTATGTGTTAGTTTCTGTGAGGTCCAGCCAGATCACCTGGGCTGGTGAGACAAAGTGCAAATTCTTCATTTTGTTTTTTGTTTTTTTTTGTAAACATTGCCTGCTTGTCTGCCAGTGGTATTACAGAGAATGTTTACTATTTCAACTTCCCTGAAAAGAGACTTTTCTGTGAAACTCCAGAGAGATTGAGTTCTTTTATCAACATTTGTACCACTCCATGGTCCCGGCGAGTTTGTCTTCTCTTGTTAATCAGCATAAACGACGGAGAGATCGAGATAAAGAGCTCAAGCGTCATCTCTCCCACCTGATAGCTGAGAGTCTGAGATCCCATGAGGAAGTGGCTGGCATTTATAATCAAACATGGAAAATGATGTGTTACTCTGTAGAACTGGATAAGAATGAATGTGGAAGAGAGAAGTTCAAACTCTTCCTCTATTTTACCTCTTAGGTCAGAGGGCAAACCAGATTCAGAGGAGATCTTTTCTTAAACGGATTAGTGAAAATCAGAGGAAATTTGGATAACTGCACGAGCTTAATCAGATTGCTGAACACCCACTCATTACTTTAGACACCCTTTTGTTGTTATGATAAGTAGGTTGTTTTGTTGCCTGTATTTTTAACCATTCAACACATTTATATGCTGGTTTAATAAACACATTAGTACAATTAGATTTTATCAGTAACTTGTTTTTGTTAGCTGACGTGTAAAAAAGAACTAAAATTAAACTCCTGGTCCTTTTCAGTTAAAGCTAATGTAATCATGCTTCACCACACTATTGTATAATTTTGAGCTAACTGCAAATCTCTACTTTCATTTACAGGATTCGTCAAACTGTGTAGTTTGGGAAAGATAAAGCAAATTGTAGACAGTTTGAAAGTCTCAGTTCCTTCACCTCAGCCTTCTCTGCCGCCTTTCCTTCTTCTTCAGCCGCTCGATGTCCAACTTGGCGCGCCGCAGAACGTCCGTCATCTCGGCCTCCATGGACATGGCTATTGGGGAGGAGCCAGGGGGATGGCCGGGGGCTGGGCTTAGAGCGGAGGCTGGAAACGAGGAACGAGAGGAGAGCCGGGCCACCTGCCGTCGTAGTGACTCATTCATGGCCTCGCTCTCAAGGAGTTTGGATCTAACAGGGTAGGAAGAGTGGGAAGGTTTATTGATATTTAAGCTCATAAATCTCCTCTCAACTCTGGGGAAGCTTGCAGGTAACCCCCTACCTAAGTTCTTCAACTTCTCGGATATAGTTCTGTATTAGCGTTCCAATCTCCTCATTGCCTTCACCTGCAGGTAAAAATAAAGTCGACTTTGTTAAGATTATTTTTAACCGGTAAACATATAAAGTGTAAGAGGCAGGGCTCAGGTGCAGAGCATCTCTGCATTCACGTACTTGACTTGGTGAGCAGAGTGCTGACCTCATTGGCCAGCAGATGCGTCACCCGTGTGTTGAGATGATCGATGGTTTCCTGCATGGCCTTCACTCTCAGGCGCAGCGAGTCGTTTTCTCTCTGCAGCATGGCGTTTTCCTGGTACAGGTCGCTGTAGCCTTCAGCTCCATCCTCACCTGCCACACGCTTACCCTGCATGGAAGTAAACAAAAACATGGCAGTGAATAAAAACTAAATCGGTCTTCAGTAGAATAGCAGTCAGAGCTGGGGGAAAAAACGCTGTTGTTCTGCATCCCAAACGAACACTGCGCCATTGTTCAGAATGAGTGCAATCGTCTGTGGCTCTTCAAGGAGTCATTGTTGGGTTTGGGGAGAAAAAATCAGTTGTTTATGTCTGAAACTGAGAGCCAGTATCTAGTCACAGCTCACGCCACAGTCCATTACTAGACTACAGTCACATCGCATCTCTTACCACTCAGAGGTCAGCTTGCAGTTTAGAGTCTCTTCCCTTAGGCAACCATGGTAACCTCAAGCTAAACAACTGTTTGTCTGTTTCAGTCACACAAGTCAAAGCTAAAGAAAAGTAGCCCCTAAAGGTGCCGATATTATTACGTCATATTTCTACACTTGTGGTTCTTGAGCCAAAAGCATTGCTGCTGTAAATGTAGTGAAATCTGTTTCAATTGACATGGGAAGTTCACTGATATACACACCACACTTTAGATCATGATCTGAAAATATATCAAGTCACATATCCTTTTATTCCAAATGCTGAGAAGTTCAATTGGTATTAATATTAAATGTGTTAAATGTTTGTATTTTTTATTAATATGTTACTCAGCTTAACCACAAAGTTCTTGTTATATTTTTGTATTGTGTCCAGTTAGTATCCTCGGTTTCATTCATCTTGTCACCTCCTTTGCTCTCTTTTTAGTATCCGTCCCACCGACGAGGTGTTATCACTTCTTCTTCAACCTGCCACTTTCCATTTCGATCTTCCCCCTTCTGCTTAATCCAAAATGGCTTCTTGCATTTCTGGTTCTATCTATCACCTCCTTTTCCCCCTAAAGCACGCACCTAACATCCATCACTCACCGCCTTGTACTCCATCAGCTCCATCTGGAGTCGGGCCACCTCCGCACGCAGGGCGTTGATCTGCTGGCTGGTCTTATCTTGGTTCACCACCACCTTGTTCTTGATGTTTCGGGCACGGTTGGCGTACTTCAGCGTGTTCAGCGTCTCCATGAAGTCCCGGTCTGACGGGCTGACGCAGGCAATCATGACTGTGCGGCTAAAGAGGAGAGAATCAGCAGCTCGGTTCATTTCAGACATATCTCATAAATTAGAGACTTTCTTACACTTGAAGATACAGTTTGAGTACCTGTTGCCTCCCAGCGAGTCTTGCAGCAGTCGGGTAAGTTTGGAGTCTCTATAAGGGACGTGTCCGCCTTTCTTAGTCTGATCACCTAAAGCGCTGATCACATTTCCAAGAGCCAGCTAACACAGAGAGGAGAAGAGACCAAACAGCATTTAAACAGAGCAAAATGTTTAAATGCACTGATGATCCAATCTTGTTTTGTTTCTGACCCACCAGTCCACAGTTAATAGAGATTCCCTCTCGGGCCCTTTCTCCAGTGGCCCCCGTGCGTTTGAGCCTTTCTGAGCCGGCCAGGTCCACGAAGTGAAACTTGGCCATCAGGGTCTCGTACTCCGGCTGGGCGATGGGGGAGGAGTCCACGCCGTTCACTTCGCCGTTCTCTTCTCCTCCATTCTGCTCCAAGAAAGAGGCAAGCAATGAGTTTCAGCATCTTACTTCAAACTGGTAACTATTTCACCAGCTTGCATGCTCCTTACAATTCTGTTTTATTCAGTTCTATATGAAAACACACTCCATTTATCTATGCTATCTTTGTCTTCTCCGTCTGCCCAGTCTCATTTAGAAAAATGATGAAACTTGTACACACCTTAAGCTAGACCTCCTAACTATGCTTTCTGAAAACGTTTTACTTATTTCTCTTTCACATTCAAGGCACTCTCTACATCTCTACTCCAAACCTCCAGTCCTACCATTTGCTGCTGCTGAAAGACCCTCATCTGACAGAGATGGATGGTGAAGATGGCATGTGAGCGGGAGCTTTGTGCGTTCATCTGTGTGCTGGCTGTGGTACGGGACAGAGCCCCAAGCTTCAGGCACTGCAGCAGCTGCAAAACACGCCAAACATACAGGACATTTGCAGACTTTTCATTTAAAATTAGAAGAGAAAATTGTTAAAGCAGACACAACTTTGAAAAGAAAATCTAATTTTATGCTAATGCTTGTCATCATTGCCCAGAGGAATTCAAAATCTTGCATACTTATTTAATCATTTAGAAGGAAAAATTGTTATCTGGCCCTCTCCCAACTCAAACTCATCTCTGCTCATTTGAATATCTGTCAACCATGTTTTTTTCCCCTCCTGGTGCTTCCTCTCCTAACTTTTTAATCATCCTGCCTGCATCTGCCTTCCTCGCTCCTTCATTGTCACACTCTCTCCCCCTCAACCTGTTTTGCTGCTTTAAGTCTTTTGTCACAAAAGGAGCATCCATTCATCTTCAAGGGTCTTTAAATAGATTATATTTTTGGGAAATTAGAGCCCAGGTGAGCTGAAACAAATAAGGCTATCATTCGTTTCTATCCAACACTCTGAATAATGATTGAAATAGTGATGCAGACTGAATCAGGAAATCATGCCTAGGCCATTTAATTCCTCTGATCGTTCTGTTGCGTTTAACAAATATCAGTCAATAAAATAATATCTGAAGTCTTTTCCTCCCACAATTACTGACTACTACTGGCATGGTACCATTGTGGAAATGATTTTTTTTTTTACTTTTTATTTTCAGTTAAAGAATAAAGTCACAATTTTGTACTTTGCAAAGGTGCTGTAGTGTTTCCAAAAATATGTTAATACAAAACGTCTTCTATGTGTTTAGATATCAATCAGCTAATGGTCTTGACTTGTGCAGCAGGCAGTGTCTGATGGATAAACGTGAAAGTGATAAGATCCTACAAAATTTGGTATATAAGCAAAAGATGGTTTCTAACAGTATGGAAAACTGATGCATTTTCACATAAAAAAAATTATAGAATACCACCAAAAAGAAAAAAAACTTGGTGAACTCTTGCCCAGTTTGCGTGGCTATAAAAAGACCACCCATATAAACCAGGACCCACCTCGTCCTCTGAATGCACCAGTCTGGAAGTGACTCCTGTGGTGTAGATGCTGCCGTTGGCGTCCTCATGGATTCTGATGTTGGACTTCCTGCTGCGACTCTCTGGATCTCTGGTTCCATCAAACAAGTCCAGGATCTCCTCATTGTACAACTACGATTAGGAGTTGAGATATTTACTGTCAGAGTTTCTGCCTCTTTTTAGTTTTTTTTTTAATCACAAAATTCTATTTTTTTTCTAGTTTCAAAAACAACATTACTGAAGTGTAGTATGTTAAATATCAAAGTGTAATAAGGCAAATTAATTAAAGAATGTCATTTTAAGATAATGTAAAAACACTGCATCTAGTACATTTTTTTCCTAAACAATTTTTTTATACCATTCTTATATTTATGCTCATTGTAACCTGGTAAATAATAAAAGCACTTTTTCAGACTGCACATTACACCCAAATTACACACACACAAAAAAAATTAAATCTCCAGGAACAACATTCAAAATAATGACCTCTTTCAAACAAGCCAAGTCAAAGGTCACAGAGGGCCACTGAAAGCTCAGCTGTTCCCACCTAATGTCAAACACACACCCATCTGTTTACCATCAACACGGATAAACTTTTGACCCAAAAGCTAAAAGAAAACACATTAATATCAAAGAGCAGGACAGACTAAAAAAGAAAGTAGTAGAAGCTGTTTGTAAAAGGTTATTATTTTTCTGGTTTTATTAGGATTTCTGTTATAACCTGATCATTAAAGAAACCACAACATACACGCCCAAACGTACAACAGAACCCTTCCCAACACGCCCCTCACACTTACTCTCCAGAAATCCCCCGAGGAAATGATTAGTAGCCATATATCTAATTTCTCCTACACAAGCATCCCGCCCTCTCTCTGATTCCTCGCTCTTATCCGTCTTCTGCTCCTCAGTGATGAGGAATAATGTCAGAGGTAATGGCAAACATTAATCAGGTCCCACAAAGCACACACAGACATCACAGCCCATCTGTCTTCAGACTGTCACATCCTGTTTGTGGATGAGAAGGCTGATCCTGTTGCTTCCTTTATGTTCTGCTTGGCATTAATATGGACCAACAACCAAATTTATTGATCCAGAACTTTTCAAAATGTTAGATCAAATCTTTTCGTGTGTCCCACCTCCAAAAACTGGGCGCTGACTTTAAACTCTGGCGGCTGGATGCCGGTCTCTTGGGCTCGATCCCTCCTGCTCTGGATGCCCTCAAACAGCTGGTGAACGGCCCGGGGGATGATGCCCTGCTCCTGCAGGCTCAGACTCACATCAAAACCCGTCCCCATGGTGTAGGTCTTCCCTGAGCCCGTCTGGAAGACATTTTATTGACAAAGAAAAAAAAAAAACATTCTTACCATCCCTAGATTTACATAACGTTTCTTATCTATCCATGAATATGCAGTGAAGGCTCATTAAAACTCTTAAACCAGTTAATGTACTGTGTAATCAACTGGCCAGTCAAAGGTTTTCACTTTAACTGGCCATGACTGGTGGTCTAAACTTCAAAAAACAATCAATTAGTGAGCTAAAGAACTAAAAACACAATTTGAAAGTTGTTGCTGAATAAACTCGGCGTCTGCAGTATCAGTGAGGTGTTTAAAAATTAAGGCTATTTAAAAGGAAGCCACTTTCCCTCTGGCATGAAGACAACATTAATTAACAGAATCTCTTAGCACCAACTCCAAGTCATGGCTGCAACTGAATAAATGAACAATCTTGCACTCATCACTGTTGAACTACAGTAGTTCTTTCTCATTGAACTACTATTTAATCTTATTTTTAGTTATGTTGCCTAGTTTATATTATTTTTTAATGTCTTTAATGACATCTCTCACAAGGAAAAGTAGAAAAATAATCCAAAAGCCATTCTTACATCTTACAGTTTATAATAATAATAAAAATAAGCCACAAATGATCAGTTAGCTATCGTCATTTACACTGACAGTGATTTTTTTATGGCTCACAGTACTTTGATGTGCTTGATGTCACCACACCAGTGACCGGCATGCTTTCTGTTGTTAACATACAATGATATGTGAATGTGTGGTAACTGCAGACTAAATAACTCCAAATCTACAAAGCCTCGTGGTCGCACCTGTCCATAAGCAAACACGGTTGCGTTGTAGCCCTCGAAGCAGCCCTCGATGAGCTTGTACACACAGGCCTGGTAGATGTGCTGCTGCTCTGAGTCAATGTCAAACACAAAGTCGTACGTGAAGGCCTTGTCCTTTCCCAGGAGGACCTGTGGTTCTCCTGGTGTGACCAGCGTGCACACGTGACAGCCCTCGATCTTCTCCTTGGCCATTTGAGGGCGAATCCTAAAAGATAAGGAGTAACGACATGGACATAAAAATCAAGCAAGGAGGATTTTATGACAAGATGAGAGATTTAAATGTGGAAATGTATAACATAAACAGAAGCAGTTTTAACATCTTTCCAGTGAAAATGTGCACCAAACAGTACACCAAACTGAATCTGAATGTTTTACTCGCTTGCATGACGGAAATATGCAAATATTTGCAGAACTTCCTCCGGACATCTTAAGGACACACATAGGCAGTAAATCTTTGAGAGCATTTGCTGTGGCTGAGAGGGGGTGCCTACTGGTATCTGCTGACTTGTGTGAACCTTTTCATCCATTCATCACTATTGTAATTACAAGTGAAGGTGATACAAAACAATCGCCTAACAGCCTCTGCTTTCATTCCTGACATGAATTGTTGCATTATCTTCCGTAACAGGATCATTTCATTAGGTATTGCGTTATATAGCTGCTAAAAAAAAATGCAGTGAGAATGCATCTCAAGTAGAAAATCCTCTGGTGTGAAGTATACGTGTGGACGGCAGCTTTGGGAAACGTCTGGACCAAACTCTGCAGTTTTCTCCTGAAAAGTCTGTGGGGATTATGTGAGAAAATGGCTCGAGATGCTTTAGCAAAAATAAGGGGCTTCCCAAATTCACTAGATTATTTAAAGTAGCATGTCAAAAATAATTCATTAAACTTAAAAAACTAACTAAATGCCTGCTTTTATTGTTAATCAGACTAAATCATAACAAATTAAAAGACGTTAATGGTTTCAGACTTTTTAATCAAAATCTTGAAAATTCAAAAACAGTAAAACTTTTTTTCATGTACAGTAAGTATCAGTCACTTTCTCTGCTCACAAATCAAACTGATTGGGGTTTTTTATATAAAAAAAAAAAGGTCTTTTTACTGTTTGAAAATCTATGAAACCAGATACCAGAACAGTTTTTTCTGACACTAATCAAGATAAATGGTGCGAGAAAATGAATGAGGTCAGACTCCGTGGCACTGTCTGTTCAAGCTGCGGTCTAGTTTCACGTGTGTGTGGATGTCAGCTGAGTCAGAGTAAATCTACTGGTCAAAATACAGCAATAGAGACACTACATTTCTTCGTAACCTCACTAAATAATATGTTTGGTCAAATTTATATAAATGCCAAAAGAAAAGTGCATCCCCACAAACATACAGATTTCTATACAATGCTTTTCCAGATTTTTTAGCCCATTTTAAATGTTTGCAAACAAAAACTTCAAAAAAGCGAAGATACCTTTTATAGTGCTGATTTTTTTTTTTTTTTTGGAACACATGGGATTGAAAGGACATGAAATGTTTTTAATTGTATGTCTTGATTTGAAATAGATCCAAACATGTCACTTTTAATTAATGATAATACCGAGTGTTTTTAACGTTTTTGTCTTAATTACTCTTAGTCATGACATAAACTAACTCTAGAGTTTTAGACAAAGCACAACATTTTGGTAACGATGCTCAGTTCCTTCAACTGACCATGTAAAGAAGTTTTTCGAAAGGATGAACAGAACCAGTTTGACCAGTTTATTTATAGAAATGCAAATTTGTACATTTAGGGAAAAGGATGCAGGGACTACAAATTCAAGTTAGACGTCAGAAATGAACAGGAGAAACAAAATTATATTTCAATTGGGTAGGAACAGTTTTACATAGTTCCAACACGTAAAATGTAAATGATGTGCCTGACGATTTACAGAGAGCAGACTGGAAGAGGAAAGTTGGAGTAAGTTTAGGTAAATTATATAAAAGAAACACTTTAACTTATCTGTAAGTGATGAAACTGAGCAGAAATCTGAAATAAATCCAAAACATTATTGGTACATTTAGATGTACTAAATCAGACAATGTGGAAACTCGGAAGAAAAACCTGCATCTGAGTTTATGTAGAGTGACTAAAGTCACTATTACAAGCATTGTTGTCAACTCCTCTAATCAGGACGGGTTTCCATCTTGACAGGTAGTTCGCTGAAATTAATTATTTTCCCCTAACATCACAGATGGAAAATAATCCCTGATAAGACGAGAGTGGAAGAAAGCGATCCCTTGCTAAGATCAGCTTTGAAGTCACCGATAAATGACGTCTGAACATTTGAGTTTAGGATCATTTTGATTTTCTTGACAGAACAATGGGAGAAAGCTTTACAGGCAAGATAAAACTGATTTACTGCAGTTCAGACTTCCCACAATTACATGCTTCTGCATCTGTGCTGAGTCACTGAAGAAAAACTATCTGGGAACTTTTACTTTTTCTTAATTTACTTCACTATTGAAGAGCAGGTCTGCTGGATTGCATCTGGAGCTTTTGGAGAGACGGTAGAGCTCCGATGGGGACGAGGGGTAAGAAGAAAGGTAAGGAGGTGACATTTACTACAGCAATATTTTATAAAGTCTTTACCTGGTGCAAAAAAAAAAAAAAAAACCCTCCTTATTGAGACAAACGCACTACAATTGCAACACAAAAACATACGTTATAAAGCCAGAGAGATTCAGAAAAATCCCCAACAGCTGTCGTAGGACGGGACTAAACTACAAAAACATCCACACTGGAACTTCTGTAAATACTATACATAAAGGGGGAAAAAATTACCAGTACTATCTTCACTTCACACATGGTTCCTCTCAAGTATGCATAAAGTACCACACCCTCCACTGACACATACACTTAATCCCTTTACCACAGGTTTTAATGGTGCTGCAGAAACACACACCGGGGCATTTTGTCTGGCTCTCCTTCAGGCACATAAGCATCTCTGAAGAGAGATTCTTCCAGCAGGGGATTAAACACATTTGAATTGTGCGATTCAGCAGCCACATACGAGCTCAGGCCAACCTTATTATAAAGACAGAGGCTGAAAGCAGTTAGCAGACAGATGAGTTTCCTTTATTCCTGGATGTGACCTTGACACAGAGGTTAATGGATCTAAAAGTGCTGTTTTGGCCAATTATAAACATAAAGTGAATATGGCAAAAGAGCAGCACACTGACTTTATACAGAGAGAGTTGACCACTGCAGGATAGAGAGAGAGAGTGTGTGTGTGTGTGTGTGTGTGCGTGCGTGCGTGCGTGCGTGCGTGCGTGCGTGCGTGCGTGCGTGCGTGCGTGCGTGTGTGCTGCTGGGGGGAAGAGGAAGAGAGAACGTAATGCACATAAAACAGCTTAAATTTAGATTTATGCTAAACTGTTCCTGCAGAAATTATACAAGAGTACTGAAAAACTGAATAGAGTACAGAAAGAATTACTTCTTGTGTCCCACTATGCAAATGTACTCAAACCACTGCAATTACTTGCATTTGTCACTTTACTCAAACCTCGATGTCTTGTATTTGGATTTTATGTAGTACTATTATATACTACTTTGGATGTCTTTTTGCTTATTTTCAGCCGTGTCAGCAAGCCAGAACTTGCTGATACAAAAACATGAGAAAAATGAGAAAAATTTAACAACTGGGGAACAAAAGAAGAAACCAAGTGGTTAATGAGCCAATCTTAAATAGCTTCTTTATCTAGAGAAATAATTTACTGTTCCCTGGAGTTTGGGTGCCTTTCAGGCAAAACAAAAACATGAGGAATGATTCTAAATGAACTACTATAAGCAAAAGTTAATCAATAGTTAATACCATTGTGAACAAATGACACATACATGGCAATGAGATCCCATCACATGATCTAACTGTGGGATGAAGAACTAACAGCTTTCGGTAATCAACCAGCACAAGGGTTCAGCTGGATGAGTGTTTAAAACAGCTGCAGCAACAAAAGAATAGATCCATCGCATTGATCTCACATGTGCACAACCAATCAGACTCAGACCACACAATCAATAAAGAACATCTGATGCTATAATTAATCCAAGTCACCATGAATACATGCAATAAAACGGGAGAGACAGAAATAGAGACTATATGATTCCATATGTTCTCATCTTTTGAGTTCAAACATAAAAAAGGTTCAAGTACCTTAGGTGGGATCTTACCTTAAGTTACCTGAAACATAAACAAGGCAGCAGGCTTCTTCAAAAATACAGTCATGAAGACTCAGCTTTTCTCATCACAATCCTGCTTTTCAAAAGTAATGGGATTTCTACCCTTACAAGAACACTGAGATTGGAACATGTCAAAAGCTAAAAACAACCGCTGTTTGAAATTTGACATGTCAGCAAGAAGGATGAGGGATGCCACAAAACATCAGGACCTCACACATTCACAAACACAGAGATTTGGATGCCTCATTTCACTTGAAATGTTACATAGTAAAATAATACCCCTTACATTTTTTGGCCAATTAAAAACGAGACAATGCTAATTTTGTGATGTGCAAATAAAAGAAATTAAAAATATATGTCCAAGTCAGTAAAAGCATCAATATTTTGATGTATTTTTCCATTTAAATAGCAGAGACCCCATAAACTAAATTGGCTGAAACTATAAACATAATTTAGAGCTTTAATTACTGATTCATTATAATTCTCGTGGTCTTTAAATTGTGAACTACATATCCTAATAAGGTACCACATCCATTTTTGCTGTAACACAAGTGCGGACAGGATATCCATTTGCATTCCAGAAAACAGCTTCATCCAAATCACAAGTCTTCTGAACAACTGAGGGATGGGAGTGGGGGTGTGTAACCACAGAGCCAATAAAAATCAGTCTGTGTGATCACTTTCAATAATAAGTAAGTGGCATTTTCCCCCGTGTGCATGTGTGTGTGTGTGTGTATTGGCAATTTTGTGTGTTCATGCTCAATCAACCTCCAAGACCAAGCGAATGATAGCCACAGTTCATTTCCCTAATGTAAACACTTCAGTAAAGGCACAGCCCACACACACGCACATGCACGCCTGCACACACAGCGACAGTTCATAGTATTCACTGGAGCTGTGAGTGTTTCAGATCTCTCTTGTCTCTCCTCTGGCACAGAGCCAGCAGAGGAAGCAACTCTCCATTTATGTCTTTAGCGCGACCCTTTTTTTTTGTTGTTTTT